GGAGCGGGTGCCAATCTGCGAAGTACTGGGAGGTGTCCGTCGGAAGTTGAGGGGCAACGCGAGAGTTCGGGTGAGGCTTTTGGCTGGAGCCAGGGGAAGAGCAATGTCCCCTGGCCCCGGGCCAGAGCTACTAGACTTGCCAGCGTCGCAAGGATATGTTCCAATCTAGTGGACTTTTGGAGCTCGGGAGCCAGAGTTCCCACCCAACAGGATGCGCCGATAATTCATATCTTTTTCCAAGTCTTACAAATCCAACAAATGAACCCCCCCCCCCCCTCTAGCAAAACCAAGCAGCCAAGGGTGACTACTGCCAAATACGGAGAGCTAGGGCCTCCGAGAAAAACCGAAAGCTCGCAGCAGAAATCCTCCTCTCTCCCGCAAGTGCTGCAGGTTTCCAAACGGGCCTCGGCCTTCTCCCAGTGCCTCCAGAAGGCCCAAGATCGGTCAGACCCGGGGGTTTTGCTTGGGGTGAGATCTGAAGGTTATTTGTAGATGCTTTGGGTGTTTTTTGTTTTGTGTTCCTTTGATTTGTTATTGACATGTGTTGAAGTTCCTGGAAGTTGTCCGCTAATTCTGTTCACCGCGAGTTCTTTTGAGAATCTGTCGTTTGGGTGTTGGCATGTTCCTGAAAAGAGGGTCCCCTGGAAAGAATGTGAAATGGGAGAAGATCGACTGGAGAAAGACATGATCCAGCAATTTGGGACCCTTTTTAGGTGGTGTGCACAGAAAGCCGAGAGCAAACCAGCAACTTGCACGTTGTGACGATGTATCAAACAAATCATGGGGGCGTGGTTTTTGGTGCGTCTCAAAAAAGGCAGCCAAGTTGACTTCTTTCGCGGCATATCTGCATGAGCAATGTTGGACACACAAACCAAAGCAGGCGAGGTTACTCACCAAAGTCGGAATGGGGACACAACGAATACTGACCGCGGCTCGCATGTCTTAACTCGGCTCGTTTGAGACCCACCTGTGACACCATTTTTTTCCCTTTGATTTTTGATTTCTCGAACGCCAAGACATGGACCCCGAGACCCATCTTTTGTGACGCCTTGTGAGCGGCAAGAGACAGTTCCCTTTTAATCAGTCAGAGCGACGGATTCAAACACCACCCACAGTGCTTTCTGAGGAACCATCCTACCCATTTCCACTACTGGGTGCGGGTGGGTTAAACATGATCCTTTAGTTCCAATTTTCCTGGAGATTCCCTTTGAAGTGATCTTGGCAGGGGACAAGGACTGTGCTGGAAGGGCTCAACCAGATATGCCTGAGCAGGTTTCTGTGCTGTATAGTCTGCACAGGCAAAGAAGCACTATATAAATATATGGAGTATGCATGCACACACATATTATCATATATCATGTACTTACTTACTTACTTACATATATATATATATATATATGCTATATATATATATACATACACAATTTTCTATAGAGGCAGACTCATTTCGACATGCACACAGGCACACACACACACACACCAATACGGCTGTCCCCGCTTTGGACCAGGCCGGCGGCTTCCGCCTGCCCGGGACCTATTTGGCTTCAACCGACGTCAGGTAGACCATCGGGTCTCTGCGACCGTGTTCAACACCATTCGATTGGAAGTTATAGCCGTGGCTGCAACTGGAGCAACTGAAATTTAGTTTTCTTTTGAGCATGGTGGCCTACGGAGTAAACTGGGTTGAACATCCACGTGACGTCGCACAGTTGTGATCTATGACAATCATTTTGCATATGAGTCAGCTTAGCATTTGCAGAACCAATGAGTAGTTGGTATGGCATCGAGCTCATTCATTCGGGATAAAACGAGCTTGAGCCCCTCGATGAAGATCCCTTTCTGAGTTAGAGGTTTCCTTGATTCGAGAAGCGACTTTTTGATAACTTGAAAGCGAGCTGGCCTCCCATCTCAAGACCTGGCAGGCAAAAGGATCCTGGGGTGAAGGTTTGTGATTTTATTTTGATCATCCATTATACTTTTTCATCAATGCTGGTGGTTCTAAGCAGACCAGTATTTTTTTTTTTTTTTGCCACCACAACATTTGAGCTTGTATAATCCGGCTTGAAGATGGCCCAAAATCCATTCCACCGCTCGAAAATCAGTCAATGCTTTTGCTTGACGACCAACTTCCCGCGAAGTCTGGCTTTTGACACGAACCACGTCGGGGGTGATCGACCTGGGTGAATCCAAGGGCAAGCGACGTAATGTTGGGTTGGCATACTATGCAAAGCAAGGGTTCTACCTATGCGGTGAATCTGTGAATCTCTCTCTCTCTCTCTAGATACCCTGATAAGCCTCCATCGGCATCGCCTTGACCCAAACGTCAATGGGCGTCGTGGATTTGCAGAGCAACACATCTTGGTTGAAGAGACAGATGGCACCAAGATGTACACCAAGATGGTCCACTAAAGAATCCACACATGTCCAGCAAGCGCCGAATTCAACTGAAAGCCCAGAGAGGGACGGAGAGGGAGCCGCGGCTTAGGTTGCACCCTCCGAAGCTCTCGGACTTGGCCCCGCCGGGATCCCTGAGTTTGGAAGCTTTCTGGCCCAGAGTTCTCAGAGTTGATCCCTTTCTGTTCAGTTTCTGAAGCCCCGTTCCAGAGAGAAGGATCCTGGAGAAGGGGAAGGGTCTGGGTAGAAATTCAGATCTTTGGAAGGTGGTTGATTGACATTGCTTTTCTTGTTTATTTAGTCCCCCAGCACAACACACATCGCGCCATGTTTTAGCGAGATATCGGCCCAACACACACTTGGACTCCAAGCAGACATGGGTCGCGTATCAGGGTTTCCCAAACATGTATGTGCACGCGCATATCTATACGCATCTACGTGAATTCCATAGCCCTTTTCAGTAGGAACACGTGTGTGTGTGTATATATATATATTATATACATATTTAATATATACATATATATTACGTGCATGTACATCCAGACGTCAGAGCATGCTTCAAAGGTATTTGCTTAGTTAGTTTTTTTTTGAACTTGAAGCAATGGTGGTTGGGGTTGCCATTGTGCACAGTCAGGTTCACAAGTTGAACTGAGGCGGTGCGAATCCACCGACTTTGAGTGGACCATTGGGGACTCGTCTGGTTGGTGTGGTCCTGCAGATCAATCCAAAAGTTCACATGACCTTGCCGGGTAGGAGTGAGCGAGAGGCATAGATGCCCGCGCAGACTTTGCTCCAGGTTGGAGAGGGTCCGAGCTTCATGTCGGAAAGCGACACGAGCTTTAGCAGCAGTCAGCGAAAGGCTCCATCACTTGTCCCACGATGCCCACCCTCTTGAGTGGCAACCGACTTTTTCCTCAAACGGCAGCCCTTTTGGTTTAGTTTGCGTTGGGGGGTTCAGATGGTCTTGGTCGTGAAACTGAAACCCCAACGGGATGGGGGAATAACACATATCTCGCCCTGAACTTGAACCCGAGCAGCACTCAACTGTTAATCGGGCAGGTTGCCAGAATCCCGCATCAGACCTACCGGTCAGAATCCCATCACTCACTTCGATATTCTGCGAAAGTGGCCGAAAGCCGAAAGTCACTTCTCGGCCTCATGGGCGATGGGGCGCGTGTGTTGTGGCAGAGCCGCTGGCTGCTAGGTGCGGAGCCCCGGTCGAGCGAGCGCACCACAGCGTCAAGCGTTGAGCAAGGGGTTTCACGGTCTGCGCTGGTTTGAGGTACTTCTAGGGGGTTGGTTTATCCTTTCTGGGGGTGCTGCACGTTGACACATACCACGTTTTTTTTTTTTTTTCAAATATATATCTGTTTGGAGGCTTACCAAGGTTTTAGGGGTTTTGTACTGTAATGATGTGATACCAGGGTAAGATTGCTGTACAACAAGCCATAGCGTTGATGTTGGATTGGAGCCCAGCGCTACTCTCCTCCAAATCCACATAGGCATCAAAAAAGAGGGTTCTTCACACGAACATTGCTGTTGTACAAATGGATGGCTTTTTGGGTTCAACCCCAAGTGAGCATTTGAGACGTTGCAGTAGCTCATTCCCTCATTCTCTGAGAACTATGGGTGGTTGGCGAGGCTTCCTTGTCTGGAGGTTCTCTGATTCTTTTAGAGGACCCCATTTTTGATTATTATTGCCCCTTTGGAACAAGCTTGGCCCACAGCAAATACTTCGGCCAATGTCCTGGCTTAGAATTTCTGCTTTTTGGCCGCAGCATATTAGTTTTGGGCCCATGTGCCTCTCATTTTGTTGGGAGAGCGCGTTTGTGAAACCAACCAGTCGAGGCTTCTTCCTGTTTTCTCTGGGCTGCGCTGTGGGGCTGCGCCTGGAGCGTGCCTTGCGGGAGCGCCTGGCCTTTGCGGACCATCCCGAGCGCCTTGGAAGCGGTGGGTTCGACCGGGCCGGTGTAGTCGACTCGGCCACATCTCGAAGATGGGTGTCCCATTTTGCTTGATTGCTAGTGTAATTCTGAGGGTTGGTTTCAGGAGAACGCGAACATGACTACAGCCTTTTTTGTGAAACACGGACCCTGGGGTAAGCCTCGTTTCAAACTTATCCGTTGGAAGACCCTCAACTCGGGGTTACAGATGCTCAGCTGATCTGGCTTTGAGCCCCCCTCTTCTTCCCTCGGATTTCTTTGGTTGCTCTTTGGTTTGATCCACTAACCTTTCCATTCGCATGACAGTTTCCCGCTCGCTCGATTCCTTACATGTTGCAAGCAGGGAGCAAGACCTGTAGTTTTCTGTGGAATATGGTTGGTTTACTTGATCCACCGCAGCAGCAGCTTCTTTCCCTGCCCGCTGGCGCAGAGGGTCGAGCTTTTTGCCGGTCAGTTGAACCCACTTACCAGGGGCTTCTAACAACACTTGGCAATCTCCCCTGTACAGGTTGTTGGATGTATCCTTGAAGAAGCCTCCGATGTGACGGTTATTTTCCTGCCCAAACCCCCGTCTGCACCGACTCGCCGACCGAGTTTCCGGGAGCTCGCGCGGAAGATCCCGAACTACGATCATGTGTCTTCACTGTTCTTGGCAGGCTATTATTCTTTCGGTTTTTCGTTTTTAATGTGGTTGTTTTGTTGTGTTACGTGTTTGGGGGCATGCAAAGAACAAAGGTTCTCCAAGAAAGCTTCCCGCACTGAAAGGTGTGGTTTGCCTGGAATCTGGTGGACACCAACACCTACGGCAGCTGGCTGCTCTCCCAGGCGCTCTCACCGGACTCGCGAACCTCAAAAAGGGTTGATATCGAGAACCGTAAACCGGTAGGATCTTTCGAAGTTTTTTGGGCACCTGCAAACAGGCTGACTGCTTTCTCCGTTTTTTTTAGGCCAGATTCATGATGCATGCAAAGGGCCAGCTTTTAAGCAAAAAATCACCATAGCTGACGTCTAAGCCTTCCAGTTGGGGGCCCAAGTACCCCTAATGAGAAAAGATGACCAAAGATGAAGGGAGAAATGGGCTCAGTTTTGCCTGCTCCATAGATCCTGTTTGTGGGGGAAGCCCTTTCTGTAATTGCGCACGCCCGTTGCCGGTCGGGCGTTCCCGGTTTCCCTTCTTTCTTGGTCATGTTGCAACAGGGGTCCGTTTATTTTCCGTTTTGGCTGGTTCTCCACCCCTGGGCCAAACCGGCCCAACAATCAGGAAGATCCCTACTCATTTGGGGCAACGTAAAGATATCTAAGCATAGTTTGACTTCGGCAGCCTTACAGGTGAACAAAGCTTCCCGATTTGCTGAACATTTCTGTAACCTTTCACCCTAACTCCTGTTTTTCTTCCTGTCTGCTTAACTTCCCGAAGTTTTCTACAACCACCCCCCCCAACTAAATAAATAGATCAATACACGAATACATAAACAACAAGTCAAACAAGACAATACACAGATAAATAAGCAAGCAGACAAATAACAAAGTAAATAATACAAGAAAGCAGGGGCGGCTCGCGGTGGTCAGGAGCGGCGTTACCCGATCAACCAGTTCGGGCTGCACATCCTGGCGCGGAACACTTCCTGGCAGGCTTGCTTGGCCATGAGGATTTGCATTTTGATCGAACTCAATCATCTAAAGGTGTTTCTGCAGATGGACATACAGCCGGGATGGATGAAACAATGAATACTGCGATACACCATCTACTAACTACATTAGGACACATCCGTCTGCTGCGTTCGATGCAGCTAGGCAGGAATCTCTTAGGATGCGCAGGTGTCCGCGGTGAATACATCGACTCCAGGCGAATACCGCGGGACAACTTCAATTACGGCTTGCGTAAGTATCCTATTCATCGGTTCTTTTGGATAGGAACCTTGCCCTGCTTGATGTTCAAGCAACTACGTTTTAAGCCTTGGACCCCGCCCTTGGTTTTCGCTAGGCGCTCTGCGTCATGGATTCCGATGGCGCAGCTTTGGCCGCAATGCAGTCTGCCACTCCATTTGACCCCAGGGTATGTTTCAAAATGGGGGGACTCCCTGAAACTGGCAGTTTTGGCGGGTTTCCCCTTCGAACCTGAACACACACGCCCAGTTCCCAAGAGTTAGTGACCAGCACTTGCACTCGCACCACTCGCGAGTGAGCCCAAAGATTGGCTTCACCGTCCATGTCCTTTTGGCCCAGCGCGCAGGCCGCTTCTTGCGGGTCTGCGCTTGCAGGTTTGACGGGTTTGAAGGTGTGATGCAAGAGAGGAGGCCTCATGAAGCCTGCTGCTTGAGGTTACAACTATGGTGACATGTGTGAGCTACCCCCTCAAGTTCAGATAGGCCCTATTTATCAGGCATACCAACCCCAGTTGCAACATTTTTTTCTTTCGTGGGATTGGGGTCAGTGCCATTGCCATGCTTACACCCACGGAATCAAGGCTGTTTGCAGGTCTGGGTTTTGGAGGTATGGACGCTTCTGCCACCAATATAAGCTTGTAAGGAAGTACCAGAATAAAACTTCAGCTCCAAGCCCCTTGGAATAGCCCTTGACTTCCGCGAGGGAACATCCTTGCCGAGGACGGACTGAGCAACGGGGAGGAGCTGGGGGACCCCTGCTGCCGCTGGGCCCCGAAGGCTTTGGGGGACTTCCAGGTGGACCAGAACTTCGAGTACAGGAGCCCGAGGGCATCTCAACTGGTAGTGCAACGGGCCAACGGCGCAAGAAAACATCGCAAAGACATCGAATCCATACACAAAATGGGGAGGGTTGGTTGAGGCGGGGGTTTGGGGGTAGTGGCCCAATGGCAAGTCTCAGAGGAATTGGGGAGGGGTTGGTTGAGGCTGGGGTGTTGGTGTGTTTTAGGGCCCCATGAGTTTGGGCACTAGAAGGGCCCGGCTCTGTCGTTTGGCGCCTTGAGCCGTCGAAGGTGGGTGTGCCAGTGGTGTCCCAGTTATTTGTTTGGTGTGGTGTTCTGTGCTGCCCTGGTGGCGTGTTGTGCCATGGTGAAAGTCACCAACCCCACCAACCATCGCTTGTAGAGGAATCTTCTTTTGGGTGGCGGACTTGCAGAGGAGCAATCACTGAGTTGTTCTGGGCAGACAAGCAGAAAGGGATCCTCCCAGCTGCCCGTCAACAAACCCTGACTCGTTTTGATTCACATCCCCGTCAGGGAACTGATCGGTGGTTTGGAACGGACAAAGCTGAAGTCATCTCCGGGTGCCCTCAATTTGCAGGTTGATCCTCCCCTTTCTTCAGGCACCGACTCCCTTGGACGGACGCTGTTCAAAGCAAGATTTGCAAGAAAGGTTTCTGAACGGAGCGGAGAGTACCAGCGTCTCAGGAAGGAATCGAAACATCCGCGCAGGCGCTGGATGATTTCGCACCCAGCCCACCCTACCGCACGGCGCCCGACTCAGCCTTTAGTTTGGCTGGTTTTTGTCTTGCTTTAACTCATGGTCATGTTGTCATGTGGTCGTTTTGGTTTGGCTGTGGTTTGGTTTTCGTGTTGGCTTTGGTGCTTGGCGCAAACGTGGGTTCTAATATGATAGGGGGAGGGTCGTCCAAAGTGGTCGGGGGTGACGCGGGAGAGGGGGAAACACCTGCTTTGATGCGGTTCTTGCCCGAAAGTAGAGAGGGGAATTCTATTGTCAAGGGAGAGCAACATCTGCGGGAGGCGGTGCGAAATCGAATGTTTAACAGGTTTGTCGAACCTTCCAAGCCTCGGAAGTCCGAGCATCGAAAAGAGTCCACTTCCTGTGGGATGGTTTCAAGGGGTCAAAGGGGACGCTTTCGTGGGGTCAGGCGGGAGAGTCGCGAGTCGTGGGCCCCTTGGCAGAGTGCGTGGACCATGGCAAGCATCCCATGGGCTTGGCGCAGCCCGCTTTTGAGACTCTGCCCCTGCCGCCGCGCCCAGGGCCGATGCCCACTCCCACCCCACGTCCTGCGCAGAGGCTGGGCCCTGGGATGCGAGAGCTTACGCGTCGGGGGAAGAGTGGTAGAGAACGCGTTGCCAGATGCAATTTCCCCATTTCTTTGAGTCCGTGCAGGACTTCTCGCCTGCCACACATGGTGCAGATATCCGCCCTTCTGATTATTTGCCATGGTTTTGTAGGCTGGATGAATTCTTACTTCCTTTTGCCTCAGGACTATGATGCGGATCAGTACGAGAAGGCATTTCGAGCCTTTTATTTTGACCGTCTACAGGGGACGCCCGGCAGATGCTTAATTCTTTGTCTTTGCCACCAACTTCTTTCATCATGTTTTGCATTGCATTTGTGTTTATGTGTATTGCTATCAGTTTCTGTATTTCAGTAAACACACAAGCCATGTTTGTTTGGCAAACCAATAATATGATATTACATATTCATATGTCATACTGCAAAGTGTTTGTAGAACGATGAGAAACAACTACAATAGTCATGCGATGCGCAATTTCCACACCACCTTTGTGTTGAAACTGGGGACCTATTAGTCCCTTTTTTTTATTGTGTATTGTCCAGCGATTCTTGGCACTCTGATCGCGCCAGCATGATCATGTTTTTCAACATGTTCTGTTTTGGATATGTATGCAAAGTGTAATCCCGATGCTCGCATAGATGCCACTTATCACCTGTTGTAGCGATTGTCATCGACTAGACATGGATGTTTATTGAATAACCATGTTTTTTTTTTTTTTGTTTCGTTGGATATCTATCAAAGGCATTGATAGACATATTGCTAGGAAGCGTTAACGCAAGTGCTGATTGAACATTTGAATACCCACACTTGGCGCCTACTGTAGGGCAAGTGGAAATTCAGTTGCATGTCTTTTCATCTGCAATATGTCTGACTATTGCTGCTGCAAGTGATTTCTGGACACAGTTGCTTTGTTCCGTAGCTTACAGGTCTATCATTGGTAGCTGCATGAAGGGCAATCGCAATCGTTCATACAACGTCTTATTGTGAGAGTATGATTTTTGTGCAAATCAATTTTTCATTTGATTTCACTCACTTATACTATTCAGCATATCATAGGACGTTCTATCACATAGCTTACACATTGGAAACACTTCGCAACAAGCGCATATAGTAAGAATAGGAATGTGATTCGGATAGCCAAAGGCAATATTGGTCATACATACATGCAGACACACATGTATATGCGTGCGATAGATCTGTTTTGTATCAGCCGCAACCGAGTGCTTGACGCGGGGTGAATGTCCAAGTTCGGATCCCTCAACACCACAGAAATGGGTCGGGCTCAACATGGACCCCTTTCAGCGGATGCGTTTTTCGCCATTTCCATTGGGCTTCCAAAATTGGACATGGATCCCCAGGTCGGAAGGTTCGATCTGAGGAGTGAGGCAGTGGACTGGAATTTGACCGCGCTGATGAAGCTCAGCGCCTTTGCGGTCCTGACGCTCGATGAGCAAAGCTGCGCTAAAGAAACAAAAGGGGTTTGGCGTTTTGCGGCGCTTGAGCCAAAAGACGGTCGTGCTTATGCTTAGACTCAGACCCAAGGAAGTGGAATGCTTAGATTCAGAAGCTCAGACTCAATCAATCCAAAACACAACTTGAAAGGACGCGGGCAGCATAACTTTTTTACATGATAGTCTTCCAAAGGCAGTGGTCTTTGCTTTGTTGGAAAGAGGGGTAATGACCCAGTCGTTTTTCTGTCAACCCGGGCGTGTTTCAGGTTCCGTTGGCAAATTTTTGGTACAACAAACAACTGTGCATACGTACATGCATATATATATATATACATATATATATATAGATATATATGATTTTGTTCACTACACAGAAATAGGCGTATAGATACGTGCTTGTCAATAATATTGACATAGTTGATATGCACACACCTATACATGAAACACTTGCCGGTTGCCAAGGTGCAACCCCGCCCCCCCACCCGGAGTGTTTCCTGTCAAAGTCGCCAGGGTGGTGCAGTTGGCCCTGTGGCTGGTCTATGGCGGTTTGCTCGCGGACCTGACGCCCACGGCTGGCTCGCCGCTGTCCCTAGGCCGGGGTCTACTTGGATGTTCCCGGCAAGTAGGTTGCAACCAGGGTATGGGAACGACCACCAGTTTTCCAGTTACCATGGTGAGATCACGTACTCACGGCAAAAGGGCAACCTACCCCAGTTACTGCGGTTAGATCCATGGTTGTAACCTACTTACTGAGTTGGTTTTCGCCTGTGGAAGTCTTTCTTTTCACCCGCGAATCCTGATCTAGCACCTGAGAAAGGGTCTGTGACATACGGGACCCCTTCTGGGGAGGTCAGCCTATGAAATCAGGTCCTGGGCAGGTCTTCGGCCTAAGACTACGCCAAAGAACAGACCTGCAAACGAGAATTCAATGAGTGGTAAACAAAATTGTTGGGGTAATGTTTGGCATCTTTTGTGGTATCCTTTGAACACTATGCAACACGGGGGTCAGTCTGAGACAGAAATGGGACAAAGATGACAAGGGACCCCTGTTCTGCGGATCCCTTCCGTCGAAATACAAACCAAACAACAATCATTGGGCGGGGTCCCTACTTTTATTTCCAAAAGAGCACTTTTCTAGGATCCTCAAATGAACCTCTTTTTGCCCCATTGCACTTTGTCGGTAAACCCATCTTAAAAAAAGTGCTTGCTCTTAGGAAAAGCCCGATCATCCGATCCTGTTGTTTGCGAAGCAGCTGAGCAAGGGATACCCCTTTTGTTGGGATATCACATCAACGTCAGAATGCTGAAGGTGGGATTGTATTGAACTGTATGCTTTCCCAAATTATGCCCCAAGAAACACAAACAATTGGTATTTGGAGTAGGGAGAGGGTGCCTGAACCCTCACTTCGGACTAACAAAGTCCGTCGCGGAGATTACCTCTCTCTCTCTCTCTCTCTCTTTCTTTGTCTTTTTCGGGTGGAGTGATGTATTTACGGGGAGTGCTCTGATTCGTGCGGTCTTTCAGATGTCAATCGCTGTTTAAGGCTCAACTAAGTCTAAATAACCCGAGGGGCCGACAGCCCTCCGCTAGGTTTCGGTTGGTGGATAGCTCCCAGCTGACGAGGCCCATGAATCTAATGGGGTTTCCCACATAGCCATATTGAATGGTTCGTATGGATGTTGAATGCCAGGTCACACTCATATGCTGAGAAACCATGCCATGAAACCGGGAGCCATTCTAAACTAGTGACAAATAGCCATATCCCTCCTATGGCTTCCCTTGCTCTGGCTCTGAATCAGTATTGGATGTACCCCGCCTTTCGTATGAGTGTTCAAGGCTTAGGTGCAAGCCAAACAATCCCCCCGCCCCAACACATTTTTGCCGCTGGGTTTGGGCCACCTGGCGCGTCAGGCACGCGGGCTCTGCTTGTGGCGCTGTGCTTTGTGTACATGGAGCCTCGGACTGGAATGACGTCCAAAGATTTGGGAGCTCCTTGGGGAGAGTTAAATGGAAACTAGCCATGTTTGGGTATCCTATTGTTTTTGGCGTATGTATATATATATATATGTATGTATATATGTATATGTACACATCTATACATGTGTCACCTCATTCTTTGTAGTGCTATTTCAAAAGTTGACCCGGTTCTGTACACAATCAACCAACATTCCCTGCAGAATCTCTGATTTGCACAGGGTTTCCCCTGCCAATGTGCCTCAAACAGAATCAGCGACTTGTATTTTCGCATGCAAAAGGGGGCTCCTATTCCGACTCTCACTGCAGCCCTTTGTTAGTCCCTGGCAGTTGTCCATTTAAGAAGACCGTTTCGGCGGCATGGTTGTGGTGGGAAGCCTCAACGTACCAGGATTGTAGTGCGATTCCACACACGTCCAGCTGAAAAGATGTTTTCTCTTGCTGGGTGACTCAGGAGTTGGTTTGAAGGGAAACCAAGGGTCTGCCACAGGGAGGGATCCTCATTTGAGACGCTCCTTTTCGTTGGTCAGGACTTCTGTTCTGGGGTCATCCACTTGATCCTGGACTACGCTCCCACCTTCTTGCCGGTGCTAGGAGGCACCTTGTCGGCGCGTGGGTTATGTCTCAACTCCCTTGGTTTCCCTTTGAAGACGTCATTTTACTGATTCAGTCACTTTCTCTCCGGAAATGGCACTGACTCTCTGGCATTGGGCAAGACTTCTTCAAACAATCACCTCTGGTCCGACTGAACCAAAGGGATGTTGCTTCCGGGATTGGCCCAACCACGCAGACGCTCGCCGCTTTTACCGGCAGTTCTCGAGGCCTCGCGGGGGGCTTCCGATACCACCACGAGGACCCCACGGCCATTCTGCGCATCAGTTGGTTCGAGTACGCCTCTCACACCCATTTGCTCTGTGCGGTGGTCCTGCTGCTCGGATCGAAGATTCGGACCGGGTTCCGAGTAAGAGAAGACCAACACCCCCAAAGGTGATTGGCTTCCTTCGGTTTTTCCCCTGGACGAATTGTGTTCGAACCTGAGGACGTTTTTTGAGTTGTTTGGTCTGTGGGATAGAATTTGGGAAGGAAGTTGTCTGGCTTCTTCGATTTTGGCGGGTTTTGCTGGACGGCTTTCGAGGTATGTCATGTCGTTGTTGAGCGGATTTACCTTTGTTTCTGCTTGTCACAATCCGAGAAGGGGCTGCCTGCCCATTTTCGGACGCATCCATAGGGATGTACGTCCCCAAAATATATGACTGGCACTTCCAACACGCAGTGTTTCCTCTTGGGACCTTCTGGGATTCATGACAACATGGGAGGGTAGCCCCCTTCCTGAATCAGTCAGCTTGCGCATCTAGTGGGCAAAAACGAACGCTGTGACTAGGCCTAACCCCTACTTATAAGGGAACCGACCCTTACCCCAGTGATAAACTGTGCTCAGAAGGATCCCAACCCGACTTCCCCCAGTTCACGGAAATGTGAGGTCCCTTTCCCGGAAACTCACCAGCATATCTTGCCTCAAGGCGACCAGCGAGCGAACAGTTCCGCCAGGCTGGCCTTGAGGCTGGCGCCCAGCTCCAGGGGCTTGCGCTTCTTCTGGGTCTGGGGCATCGCCCGGGCCCCAGGGTCCCCAGGGTCCCCAGGGCCCCAGGGCCCCAGGGCCCCAGAGACCGGAGAGATCTTGACTTTAGAACGTGTGAGGCCCCGAGTCAGCTACGTGAGGGACAAAAAGGGGGATGTGTGAAGAATTGTTTGAGCGACTTCCTTGGGGCTTCCCTTTAGAGGGGCCCATGTTTTAAAACATTTTGCCCAATGTTCCCAACCCAAAGCATTCTGAGTTGTGAGTCTCAGTTTTTGGGCTCAGCAAGCGAAAGCTTCTGTGGTTTTCTGGGTTTACAATCCGACGGCGTCCTTTCCGATTTTGGTTTGGCGGAAAATGCGTAGGACATCAGGTCAGTTGGTCGACGGATTCCATTGGTTTCAGTTTGGGTCCACTAACTTGCCAATGTCACATGTTCTTTGCAAAAGGAGGGGTCAAAGGACCTCTATGAGTGTACAAGCTCTTTGCGGGGCTCATGTTTTTTTTTTGAAGATACCACCTTTTGAAAAAGCCCAATTTTGGCCGAGTTGTCTTTTGGTGGGTTATTGTTATTTAAAGGGACCATTTGAGGTTCACGCCGTTATTCCCTTGAAAGCGGCTGACCTATGGAATGTGAGCTTAGCCTTTCCAAGGGGCTTCCCGGTCCCGGACCCGAAATTCCGACGTGAAGGGACGGGCTTCCTCCCGAACAGCGCAGCCACCCACGAGGAAAGGGAGATACTTAGCTCGAGCTCGTTGAGTGAGGAGACTCGAGTCGGAAGGAGAGCCAAGCGCCCGACTGAGTTCATTGAGTTCAAAATGCTTGGCGGGTTTTTCAGAAGCAAGCCCACAAAAGATCCCTAACCTCAAGCAAAGCTCAGCCAGAAGGCAGAGTCGTCTTAATGGACGTGCGTTCAACAACCATTTTCTCACAAAGACACCCAAGCACAATTGAGGTTGACATTCACTCCCTTCCCAAGGTTCTACAGTCCTAGACTCACTCAGGAAGATCAAGTTCTTCCTCACGGCTCGCAGTTTAGGAAATAGCTTTCGACTTTTTGGTCTTCAGGGTGCTAAGACGTGAACCCCGAGCCGGGGGGGTTCCACCAACTCCGGGCTATCACATTCCACTGCCCGCCTGACCAGCTTTGCCTTTGTCGGAGTGGCCCTCCTGGCCACCAGGCCCAGGAATTGTCGGTTCGAGCCCCCCGAGCATAGGTCTCCTTTTTGTTTGTTTTGGTAGAAGAATAGATGGCGATTTCTGGTTTACCTGGTGGTTTAATCATCTACACCTATGCCCCCGAGGTGTGGAGCCACGTGTTTCAGTCGGCGCACCGCTGGGCGCATTGGCCCCCCGACGCGCTGCCGGGCCCCGTGCGGGCGCTGCAGACGGCCGGCCTCGTGCTGACCCATAGCCGCCGCTCGGTGGGGATTCGGCCGGGAAGGTTGGGCGAGGTGGGGGTGTGGTCGGGGGGAGTGAGGTGGGGGGAGTGAGGTGTGTACAGAAGTTGGAGGTGCTGACGAAAGAAGCGGTTCTGATCTGTTTGGGCTTGTGGTGGTAGAAAGGTCGCTGATTTGGGCCCTGAGCATTGGCGCGTTTGCGTTTGGGACGCAGACAGCAGAGACTGGCGTCAATTTCGGTGGTGCCATTGTTTAAGATTGCAATGTTTCAGGAAAGCGACGATGGGCGTCGTCTTTGAAGTGGTAGTTGATTCCTGTTTTCAGACTAATATGTCAACCTTTTCAGCAACACGTGCAAAAGGATTATATCCCTGGGTTTCATTGCCGTCTGCCAAGAACGTATGGAGTGCCCTTGCAAACACGCGAGTTGCTTCACCCCAAGCACAAATTGTTTTCCTAAAGCAATTGGAGGTCTTTGATATGTAGTCGCTGGAGGGAAGAGATCAAAGGGAAACTGGGGACCTGCCGTTTTGATGCTCAAAGGGACTTGCCCAATTTGAGGACACCACATCCGAAAGAAGATGAAGTCTTGTTTATCTTCCATTCAACTCGCCTGCCGAAGTTCAGGCCATATGCAGCACCACCAGGACTTGGAGAAGCAATTCAGCATCCTGCCCCTTGGATAGAGCAGCAATCAGAGAGGGCAGGACATCGGATTTTTCCTATTGGAGATGATGTCATGTACATGGTGTCGGGTACGCTCAGATCGCAGACATTCCCTTGAGTTCAACGCTAGGACCACATGGATCGGTGGTGGGTTTACCGGCGAACCCAGCTACGGTGTTCTTTTTTGTTAGATGGCCCCTCTGCCTTCCAACTCTTAGTTTCCTTTTTTGTTCAGCCTGGGATAGGATTGCCCGGACTCTGATGGCAGACCAGACGTTGTACATCCTTCTACTAAGGACGCGACTGCTTTTTGGTGGTGCAGCAAGTTGAGTCGAGACTGCTTGAATATGGCTAAAGGCCCACCTTGCTTTCATCAGTGCAGTGGAAACATATCTGTTTTCTGAGACAAAGTGGGCCATCCACATGATGCCATTGTGGCTGCGACGCATCGGGAGCTTCTTCTGGTTGCTAGTCAGACAAGGTCCCCATTCTCCAAGCGAAAAAGGTTCGGGGTTTCAGAAAACAGATGTGGATAGGTTGCGACAAACAAGGTCGGCAGCCAGAAGGAAGCCAGCCTGACTGTGTTGATCCAACAGCTTCGGGGGAACCCTTGCGTCGGCAAGCGCGTCTTCGGGCGCATCTAGCCCTCCCCCTCCCTGAGCCGCACCCTTTGGGTTTTCGGGGGAATCTTCCGGACACTGCCCCAGAGTTGCCCTTCGGAGGGTGGCTTTGTCTTTTTTTGCCCTTAGATCCTGGCGCTATTCGCCTGATTTTTCTCGTGCGCTTTTGATGGCGAGGTCAGGCTGTGCCGACTGCGTCTTAGACCGCCTGGTGCGGATTGTGCCTGCGGCACGCTATGACCTGTGGTGCGTGCTGCGTGGCAATGACTGGAGTTTCTGCGTGTTTTCCTTAAAGAACATTGACATAGAACATAAAATGTAAGAAGTCTGCCCATTTCTGGAGAATTTTCTGCCGGGAAAACAATTAAAGCAACCTTTGTTGGAGAAAGGGTCAAGTCTTGGAACGCCCTATGGTATGGTGCTGTCAGCGCATGTTGGTTCCTACTGAGGCAGTCCTTTCCCAAAAGGTTCATGTTTTTGTTTCACAATCTGCATAAGTTTTTATATCTCTCTCCCCGTTAGGACAACTCGGAATCCTTTTTCAGCGGGGATTCTCTTTTTTGTGGAGGAACTGCACCGTGACGAGCTTCCCGCGGCTCTTGTCCGGTTTCGTATTCCGGAATCCGCGCCCAGGTTTGGGGTGCTCTGGTTCTTTCTGCCCAGTTTTCTGGACCTGTACCTCCGCTCGCTTTCGAGCTCGAGCGACGCGAGCTTAGACGGCCAGCCGCGGCCCAGCTGGACCAAAACCTCGGTGAAGGACTGCGTGTGAGTCGATCCAAGCCACCCCCGCCCCCCCGGAAAATATCGCTGCACGAAAGCGAACTTGGACTTCAGGTGGGCATGTGTGATACACTTGAACTCCCCTTTGGCATCACTGGTTGTTATTCTCGGGATGAACCTGTTCACAGAAAACGCAGCACGTGGGGCAGGGCAGGGTAATGGCTCATGTCCACTTCTGTTTTGATGGCTTTTCTCCACCAGTCGGCACCCAGTTTGTGTAAGCAAGCAGGGGGGTGGGTGTCCTGCGAATTCGCCAAAGGGCGCGGGGCTTCGGCGCCGAAACGCCGATGCGTCCGTCCGGTTGCCTCCGAAAGGGCGACCGGTTTTGTTCAGAGGTTCAGTGGCCAGCTCCGAATTAATGCACGTGCATCTGCATGGCAGGCTCCGCCAAATGGCTGGAGGCCCAAAGTTTTCTAGCCAAGGGTCGGCCAGAGAGGGGTGCCAATCGTCCACAAGACAGGTGGCAAAAGGACCCCAGATCGCACCGCCAGTGGAATCCAAGGCCTTGTCAGAGGGGTAAGTTTGTCCTTGACCCCACAGCAGAGAAAGGCAGAAGGGGGGTCCGGAAAAAGTTTTGGGACCTTGAAACTCACCAAGATTCTTCCCCTATGCAACAAGAAATGCAGCTGGTTTGTAGCGTAGCTGGGGCTAAGTTTCCTGACTTTGATTCGAGGGCTGGCCAAGTTCCCTCACGTTTTGGCCTCTCTCTGATTCCGTGCCCTTGAGGTCCCGGCGGAGCCGGGAGTTCAAGGCTGAATGTATGGACCCCTACATGTGTGCCATCAAACCAGACACCGATTTGGGGGCGGGGGGGGGGGGAAACGAGCGATTCGCTTCGCCATGATGCAAGCGATCCATGACCATGTTTCACAGGGGTTTTGACCAAGGCACACACACACACACTAAGCACACAAAGCACCGGTATGAACGTCTAGTTTATCGTTTGACAAAGGCGAGGGACTCAGTTCTGAGTCTATACATACAAGTAGCCTTTCAGAGAGTGGTGTGTCATGATCCGTGGCGAGACTTGGCGCTCTCAAAAGGAGCGGCGACCGAATCAGCTCATTTGCGAAGATCAACCCTGCCTCCTGTCGCTGGGGATAGGGCACGCTTTCCAAACTCGGCGTGCGTGCGTGCACATGTGTTTGTGTTTGTGTTTGTGTTTGTGTTTGTGTGTGTGTGTGTTGTCCCAACTAGTTTCCCAGCCTTGTTGTCTCGGCATGACTTTGAGTCTGAGTGTTGAGTGTCGCCAGACAAGGAAGGCTTCCTTCGGTGTTCCTTTCCCCCCCAACATTGTTTTCCCAGAGCCGCCCTCGCGAATCGAAAAGAACTCGGGTGACACCACGGGGACAAGGAGTCCTTAGTCGACCTTATGCAACTCAACCTTGTTCAAAATAGTCGTGTTCAACATGAGGTTCCCTTAGCCACCCTTGATTATGTTGAATTGAGTTGTTTGTTTTTTCTCGAACTTAGCCAATGTTGATCTAGCACTATTCCTTGTCACAGAAGTTCCTTCACTTTGCCCCCTATCAACCTGTAAGGCGTATGAATCCAGGGTCAACATTCGTGAAAGAGCACCCAACCCCTTTGCCAGCACCCTTCTCACGTGCTTGTTGATTGTGAGCACACCAACTGTTCGTTTGGAACGGATCCAGGCGTTACCGTTTTACCTTCTTTTCGGTTGCAGCAAAGGTGATCAGCCCCCTTCAAGTATTGAACACCCAAATGAGGAGAAGGTGAAGTGACAAGCGAGCAACACAATTCAATCATTTAACGTTGCCGTTCTGTACTACATGAGGATTGTGTACTACAGGGATCCCAGATTTTGAACACTGTAGGCCATGCAGCTTGCTCATCCCTAACCCTAGGGGGCGCAAAGGACGAGCAATCTCAGGCCAAGGTTGGAGGTCGCAGTTCGGGCGCTCAGATCCGGGCTTGTTGCGACCAGCATATGTGCCACGGACAATGTTACTTGTAGTCTGTTGCTCATTTGGAGAAGACAGCTGCCTATCCGATATTCAGTTTCTTTGGTTCTGCGTTTCTTCAATTTTAATAGGGGGTTTGCCCAATTGAACCGGGGCTCAACTTGGAGTAGTCAGATAAACTTTGAGGGTTTCCAAGCTTAACTTTCATTTGTGCCATGGTCAATGGTCATTGAAAGAAACCCACCTAAATTTGGAGTTTCGACTGGTATGATTCATTGGGGGAGGAAGGTTCAAAGTGGGGACTACCCAGATTTGAGCTGAGAGCAAAGTCGTTTTTTGCTGTGGATACTGGCAGGCTGTGGTCCTTTTTGGGGGGACTTGAGGCAAGATTGGGTCAGATGGGTGTTTATATGAGCCTCAGCCTAAGAAGCGGACCGAATTCAACTATGCCGCAACATGTCACCAAGTCCAAAACAGGCCCCATATTTTTGAGCAAGCTGAGGTGCTGGGCGGAGGGCCAGTCGGGGCGCCAGGAGCCGTCGTGTCAGCTTGCAGTTGGTCCCTTAGGGGTTGAGGGCTCGACTGGGTCCTTAAAGTGAGCATTTTTTGAGGGATTCTCAAAATTGCTTTGGGGGACCGTTTTGTGGGGTAATTCTGATGATCTGACTTTAGTAGACCCAGTTGCAGCCCAGTCTGTCTCAGAATAAGGACCTAGACTCCCCAAATCGAGCCTACTTTCCTTTTGGCTTGCCTTCAAAGCCAACCAAAAGGGGGGTTCCCCCACAAGAACGATACACAGCTTTCATGTCCCCTTCTCTTGAAAGGCCAACTTGATGAGAACAGGCAATATGACGTGAACTTGTTGTTGGCAGGGTGATGTTCTCGCTTAACCCCTAGTTTGATGGTTCCCGAACCACTGATTGCTGCTTCATTGGGGAAGACTGCCATGCGGGTTCAAAGGGGCCATGGGTCAATATTATCATTGCTCTAGGTGTGTGTGTGTGTGTGCTTTTATCGAACATGTGCCCTTTCGCGTTTTTGCGTGACCATGTTGTCAGGTATTCATGTGCCATACCCAAAAAGCCCGTCCAAGGCCCAATGCGGTGCACCTGATACCCTTGTTCCGATCATCTCCGGTCCATTTCCGTTCGGTTGGTGACGTTGGGTATTTTTTAGGCTACCCCACATATTGGCGTTTCTTTTCTCCCTCCTGGTTTCCCTTTAAAGCCGACCGGATCTCCGGATCGAGCCGAGGTGGGGCTCCTTTTCGCGCTGCGGCTCCTCGAGTTGGACGGCCGGGCTTCAAGTGGCAAGTCGCAGTTTGGGCTTGGTTGGCTTAGAGGTGGGCGGCTTTTGGGGGTTGATATTGCATAGGTTTCGGTTTGCTTGCAATTGGTGTATGGATTGGAATGGGGTGTGCGCTGTCTTACTTCAAATCCCGCCAAGTTTGCACATTCACTCCCCAAAGATTTGGCGGAGACAGGTGGTAGTTGAGGGTTTGCTGAGGGACACCTAGGCGGTGGCTTCCTTTTGGTTGCCCTACACCCGTCTCGGTGCGGGTCTTCAGGCAGCGCCTGCATCACGGTCTACGACCACCGGTGGAAGGTGCAGGCAGTGGGCTCCGGGGGCTCCGGCAGAGGGTCTGAAGGTCCGTGGGGAGGGTAGCCTGGGTTCAAGAAGTGGGGAGGGCACTTCGAGTTCTTACAAATGACTCTTGGGGGTTGTGGAAGGCAATGTTTGGTCTTGTAACAGGTTTCCTAACTGGGATCGCACGAGAGCGTCCCCTTATGCCATAGTAAATAGGCCTTGTTTATACCTCTTAGATGCGTTTCTTGCCAACACATTTATGGGTTAAAACCCTTTTTGTTTGTGAGGAGCGAACGGCTGGCCGCCTGTCTTGATCATGTACCTACTATGCAAAAAGGGGTGTCTGCATAGACTGCACGCACCTTTGCGCTCCTTGAACAGGGGAGGTGAGGGGCTTTGGCGTGAACGTCGATTCTCGGCTGTTGGCTTCGATTTGCGACATTCTTTTTGTGACCCTTTCGTGGAGACTAGTTTCCCTGTTTTTCGGCCTTTTCTTCGGCTGTGAGACCCCATGTTGTCAATCCTATTGGCCATTGGATGGCCAACAACACAAAGTCCCCTACTTGCTGTCCATGTACAGTTGGGTGAAAACTGGCACACTTCCGGCGTTTGGTTGCATCATCTCCCTTACTTCCCGACAGAAGAACTACTTTCACCCTGGTGTAGGTCCTCTTTCGTTCGCAGAAGGGATGCTCGCAGATGGCTTGCTGGCAGGCCAAACTCCGGCGCCTGCCATTTGTTCCTCGAATGAATGGTTGACAAACTTTCGGACCGCTTTGGGACCCCCAAAAGCCAGGCTTGCTCCGATCCTCACTGTGATTAAATCACAAGGGCAACCCGGAAAAAAGGGGAAAACTCAGTGAGCTGTTCCAAGAGTTGATGTATCAACAACTTTCTTTGGGTGTGTGTAAGAACACTTTTCTCCAGCAATCTTCAGAATGTTGATGTGTCAAGAGCTGGATTGGCAAATGATGGACGCTCTTTGGGATCCGAAGGGTTTGAGGGGGGCTCTTTGGAAGACCGCAGACGATTTTCTTGGACCAATGCATGTATGTGTATATATCTATACACATCTCTCTCTCTCTATATATATACAAATACACTACATATACACATATGAAATGCATGCACTGATGGGGTCGTGTATCTTGGAAGGATACCCTTTTTGGGATAGGCTAAACAGAAGCCGAACGAGCCACCCATGTTCCAAAGCTTTGGGGCCGCGAGGCTGGGACCTACGTTTGGGTCCCAGAGGTGGAGGCGCGCGGGGTACTCTGGGTAGGTCCTTGGAAGTTTTTTTTTTTTTTTTTAAATTAGGGAGCAGTACTTTTCACCCAGGGACCTTTACACGTTTGGACCCGGTGCCAGTTGCCACTTGCCCTCTTTGCAAAATCGCGGAAGTGAACAAGGAGTCCCTCCAAACAGGAAAGCAGTTTTTTCTCACCATGTCAGCTGCTTATTCATGATTGAAACTTGAGATTTTTTCTCAAGCCAAAGAGGACCGGCAATTGTTTGATTCGTCCAGACCCTCCATTTGACACCGCTGGGCTGAAATGTATTGAACACAGAATGATACGCTAAAGAAGGAAAGACTTGCGAGCTCCTGCAGGGACGTTCGTTGTAGGCTAGTTTCCTTTTGGAGGCAGTTGCCACCATTTTGGGCACAAACAGTTGTCCCCCAAAGGGTGGCAGGTTCTTCGTTGGGGTCTTCTTTGAGTTTGCTTTTGGGTTCCGTTTTAGCGCCATGCTCTTTCCAGTTTTCTTTTCGGTTTGGCTTGCCTTTGCACCCGTTCAACTGCATCTAAATAGGATATCTTGTCATGGTTGTTCAAATTGGGAGTTTAGGGCCAGTTTCTGAATAGCAAGTAGTCACGAGATCTCGTCACTTAGCGCTATCACCTGCCCATTTTCCTCTATGTGTGCGAAAATCGGGGGCGGATGGTCCGCGAGGATCGCCGGGTCTTCGTGGTGCCGGTGCCGGCGCTGGAGGTCTTCAGTTCCGAGGCGAGGTGCTCTGGGGAGCAAGGGGTATGGGGTGAGGGGGTGGGGGGGTGGGAATCAGTAGACGAGGAAACCGATCTTTTTTCATTTTTTTGCTTTTTTTTTTTTTCTGGTACCTGCAGATCTGGTGCAGCGTGCTCGCAACATTGTGTTGAATGCCAAACTGAACAGGGACCATGTCAAACATGCGAAGCTTAAAGCAGCAAGAGGCAGAAGCACCAGCTTATCCAGGATGGACTTCGGTTTTAGTTTACCTTTGGAAGGTAAACTTGACCCCAGAAAAGAGCAAGACCTGAGAGGGAAACTAAAAGGACAACTAGCCAAGACCACGTCGCCAAGATTCACCTGTTGGACTAGAAGCTTTTGCTCTAGGAACACTCCCTTTGTGCGCAGAACCCCCGCTTGAAACCCGGCACTGCCGAGCAGAAGGGGTGTTTTCTGATGTTCCGAGACACCCGAGACGAGTCTCTCTAAACTCGTCTCATGGACTAGCTTCTATGGAGTGGACATTTTGTGTGCAACTTCTGCTCATCTGTGTTTTGCTGCTGATTTTTGCCTCTTGGACGTTGTTGATTGGACTCCTCGGGGACCAACCCCTGCGTGAACCACAGCGTCTCCGCCTTTGATCTGCTCTCTGGCGTGTCGCGTCACTCGTTCGACTTTTCCGCGGGCGCCAACATGTTTGCCCACTCCGTTGGGGACATGCTGGTGCTCATGATGTCCCTCGGCTACTACCTTACGACGACCTGCACTGCCGGTTCGTGGGCACCAACAAGTCGTCCACCCCCCTCCTCACGCTGCACCACTTCCTCTCCAGCTTCATAGTTGCACAAGTCGTGTTCTTCGGATACGCCGTACGGACTCTATTGGGGGGTCTGCTCCCGGCAGAACTCTTCAACATCACTTCCAGCTACGAGGTGATGGTGCCGCACTCAGTACTCCACGGACAACCTTTATGGTGACTGAGTCGCTCAAGTTTGTCATCACAGCCCAAAGGTACAGACCAGGAGATGGATTTCAGAACGCAGAAGAAAGTAAAGTAATGCACGACCCCGTGCATTGTGATGCAAACATGAGAAAGCCATGTCTCATTTCCCAAGTGTGCACGCGATCTGCGGAGGACAAAAGCTGGGCGAGCTTAGTTGAGAGGCCGCGAGGCCAGACAGGGTCGCGGCGGCGGACGGCTCCCAAAGCTTTTGAGACTTTGAGAGGCACGTAGGTGATCCACTAGGGCAAATGACAACAGAAACAGCGCCAGGAAGGAGACACACGTCAGGAATGCCCAACAAGCGATCGTATAATCACGGCTTTTGCAAGGCAAAGTTGTTCCAATCATAGACAAGTGCTTCATGAAGCCGGTACTTTTTTCCTTTGCACGTGCCTCTCATGTCGGCCCTCCGCACAAGCGCGGGAAGCGGTCTGCACCTGCGGGCGGCGCACGAGGTGGTGGCCTTGCTGAAGGCGAAAGAGGCCCGAGGTTGCATCTGAACAGACTCTGATGGAGCTGGAGGGGGGTGGGTGGCTGGGTGGGTGGGGGGCGGGGGGTTCTTTGGATGGGCATGGGGTGGAAAATAGTTGTTTTTTAGGAGATCCGACTTTCTGAGAGACCACTAAACCATCCCTTCAAGGTAATGAAGTCATGAGAATGACCCCATACGACTTTCCAGCATCATGTGCATGGGCCTCACCTCCTCGGCAACCCGCACCACACCTCCAACAAAGGGGCTTACTAACTCGGGCTAGCCACTCTGGCAAAAATATGGAATGGAATGAATGGCCGGATTGGGTTGCTCCAAGCCCAAAGGCAAGTTTCGGGCGGCGCGTACAACTGACAGTCGCGCTGCGATGCTTGTTGTTGGCGTTGTTGTCCAACCTTCGCTTTGGGAAGAGAGCATTTTTTTTTCGCAGATGCAGAGAATACAGGGACCGAATTGTTTGGGAATGCCAAACAGCGCCCAGAAACCATTCCTCTGGGGAAATGCGGCTTTCCGCTAAAACAGGGCTCTGAAACAGGGCGTCACGTTTGCATGGTGCGGCAACTTGGAGCAGCGGATCCGCTGCACTGTAAGAACACCTTTAGACAAGTTTCCTTTGGTGGGACGTAGAGGGAAGAGTGGGTTGTCAGACGCCAGTTCGGAGAAGCCCGCAGTGAGTTGAACATCCAAGCCTGGACTTGGATCCTCCTGACTCCCCCTGTAGGTGACACCGGAGCAGCTCATCGATGTGGCGCAGCAACGCATCGAGGCGGGATTGCGTCGTTTCAAGCCACATATATGTCCCATGTTTTCTTGAGGGTATCCCGCTTGGTTTCAAGGGAAACTGAGAGGTAACCGGCTATTCTCAGGGTCCTACTTCAACACACACGCAAGTGGGAATTGGAGCCCCAGGAAAAACAACAACAACAACCATCGTGTTTCGGTACTCAGGGGCTGCAAAGGAGCTTGTTGCAGAACCATGTCCTTTCTACTCTTGTCCTTTTGCCTTTTTCGAGGCAAGTTCAGCATACCTCCAAGAAAACCTGCACTTCCAGGAACCCCTGACATGGATGCATTGACAGCACAGAAAACGCCTGCCCACCTCATGCACGGCGTTCGAGGTGTCATTGGAAATTGAAGGAGAGTTTACCCTTGCCCACGGCTTTTCGCCAAGAAGCACAGGGCTGCTCACCCAAAGGGGCTTCCAAGAAGGGACATTCACAAAGTCAGCGAGTTTGACCCGTGTTCCATGACCCCCAGCAAAGCAGCCCTTTCCCGTTCCATTCTCCTGGTGAGTAGGTTACCTTCCCACGGCTACAAGGGAACTAACCCCAACTATCCCAGCTTTAGCCACGGTGATAAGGCTGAGGGTCAAAACCAATGGTACCATTTTGGGGTAGGTGCACCACCCATTTTGGATGTTCACTGGGGGTACGATTTGGATTTTGACCCATGGCCGTAAGACACATGTCGCTTTGACGGACCTTGACCGCAGGCCACGGAAAGCGCGGTGGCTGCCACACCCATCACCTGCTTCGAGCGCGCCCGGTCCATGGCTCGCTCGCTGCCGAAGGACGAGGGCCAGCGGGGCTTCCTCCATGGCCTGCCGGTGCTGATCAAGGACGCCGCTTCCAGGGATCTCTTCGATTTTTTTGAAGCCTCAAACATATTCGGATTCGGTCGACATTCCTTTTCTTTTTCTCCTCCATCGACTTTAGGGACTCCTGTGAGCTGGAGAAGTTGGGGGGCCACTCCTGGGTTTGCTCCAAAACAACTCTCCCAAAAGTCGGTCCCCCCTATCAATCCTTCTTTCTTGGGGCGGCTCAGCTTTTGCCCAGGACACTCACCCGGTGGCCGGGGTGCGCTTCACCGAGGGCTCCAAACTCTTCGAGCACCGCGTCGCGGAGCAGAGCGCCGAGGTGGTGCGGCGGTTGGAGGCCAAGGGCGCGCCCCTCGGCCGGATTTGGATACCTAGGTCCCCCAGCTAGGTGCTCTTTTACCAACTTTTTGGGAGGGTTCCCCCATCTAGAATAGACTACAGAAAAAAGGGTACCTCTCTACTGGAGGACCTAGATGCGGATGGCGAGCTCGTTGGGCTGGGGAGCCGTTGGGAGCCGTTGATGTTACCTAGGGAGCGGTTCAGGAGCGGCTCGGAGTTCTGTAAGGATATAGGAGATGGGGATGGGCGGGATGGAGCTATGGGCAGGGATGCTACGGGGGGTAGGAAAATTCCGCCGATTGTAGAGCTCACCAATTCAGGGGTATCACGAGCTCACCGTAAAGGTTCTTTGGGATCCCTTTCAATTCCGCCGTTGGATTGAACGTAACATTTGCAGAAGGGAATGGAGGGTAATCTCTTCCCCCAAACAACAAACCCGGACCCCCCCGCCTATTAGTAAATCAGCCTCGAAGACGAAACATATTTATTAATAGGGTCCTTCTGGGTCTGATGGGCCCCCTGGCGAAAATCGCAACTTTGCAGTACGACCGTAGCAAAGGAAACGTACTCCCGGAGCTCCGGCTCGAACATCGCAGCTTTGTAGTACGACCGTAGTAAGGGAACCGTACTCCCGGAGCTTGGGTCCTGGACTAATTACCCACCCCCGAATAAGGCTGGCGCTGGTCTGGGTGAGAAATCCGAGAGTTTAGTCTTGGTTTTGAAGTGGCCTATTCTAAAAGTAGTATTGGGGACTGGGAAAAATAGTATATATTAATAGGGTCCATTTATTAAAAGGGGGAAGAGATTAGGCATCATTTGCATGGTAAGCACACACCTGACAACAAATGGGAAAAGCCTCAAAGGGGGTAGGTGAACTTTCTTTACAAGCCCCAAGATGGGGGGGGGCAAGCTTGAAGCCTCAAGCAAGCCAAGCAAGCCAAGTGACCGGTGTTTTGAACGCAAACTTGGGGAGCTCCGTGGTCGCATCCGTGAGTCGAATCAGTTACTCACGAGCCAAAAGTCGAACATGATTCAGTGTTGGCAATTTTGCAGGGACTGCTGCTTGCAGTTTAACATTGTTTGGTGTGCACCCCCCCCCCTCCCCCCACCCCTCACCCCTACTCTGATTGATCCTGGCGGTTTCCCTTTTCCTAACCCGGGCTGATGGAAGCGCTGAGCGCCAGGCTGGTGCTGGGGAAGACCAACGTGCCGGAGTTCTGCGCAGGATCCCAGAGCTTCAACTCGCCGCTGGGACCGGTGGAGGGGCGGGAGGGGGGGGGGAGGGAGGACGAGTTTTCATTTCCAACGAGGTTTTGCTAAGTGCACACACTGGTTATTGTATTTTATCCAGCTGTCCGGCAAATCGCACGTGAGGGCAGGGAATTGGAGGGGGCGTGGGGGGGCATTGGAGGCCGGCGGACCCTGCGACGCTTGGAGCCGCGATCTTTTGCCATCTCCTTCCAGGGTGTTGGCTCCTCCAAAGCAAGCTTGCAGAATATTTCTCTCTTTTGGTGGTTTCCAGCAGTACCATCTAAGCCGCAAGAGAGGTCTTGCTTGGCAGGAAGGATGTGTTGCGGGGAAATGTAAGGAACCCCTGCGAAAATGAAGGACATCCACAAGGGCAGAAGGGAAACAGCTCAGTTTTGTTCAGGAATGCAAAGTGGTACGCTGTGTTGGACTTGTGTTTAGTCAAAGATCGGGGGAAGGTCATCGGAATTTCTGTTGGCGTTCCTTCTCACTCATGTTCAGGCTGACTTTGATCTGCTACTTTGAGGCAGCACAACCACAACGTTTTGGACGTTTCCGAATCGTTTTTGGGTTTGGCTCCGGGATAAGTTCGATTTCGGTCCTTGAAATTTGGGTTGTTCCGGAAAAAAACACCCTCCATGTTCCTTTTTTGTGTGGCTTCAAAGGGAATGCCAACAGCACAACTGAAAGGGAAACCACCAACCATCGGCACTCGAGGTGAACATGGAAAGGGAAACCATCAATATCCAGATTGCGCTTCAAAAAGTGAACACGCGACAGCACATTTTTTTGATTGGCCCCTAATTCAAGTTTGCACGTTTCGCAGCGGATTCTCTCCACGATCGACCTTGACTGGAAATTCCTGGAATCGACTGGAATCTCGCTCGTATCTCGCGTCGGCGTGTCGTCGCGTCGTCAGTCGGAGGCGTCTTCTTTTTAGATTAGTTTGGTTAAACATAGATGGCACTGGTTTAGCTGGGCTTTGTTCCATTTACCAGGGCCATCAGTTTTTTCCACAGGGCTTATGGTCTCGCGTCGAGTCGGAGGCTGTTCCCCACGTCGCGGTCGCCCTGGCACTTGGCCTCCACCGCCGGGGGCTCCTCCGGGGGCTCCGGGGCCGCGCTGGCGGCCGGGCAGGCCTGGCTGGCCACCGGCGCCTGGGCGATTTCGAGGTGTCGACGGAAGGAGCGGCTCAGCGGCTGGCCGTCTTTTTTGGTTTGGAGCTGCCCCGTTGTTTGAGACATGACAACATGTTTCCCCTCCCAGGTTTCCCTTTGAGCTTTGTCTTAGATGAAACCCAGGGTTTTTTGGTGCAACTTGTTTGTTAAAGAGAGGTTTCTCTCAGTTTTCCCGTCAGACAAGGTATTGACTGGATTCCAGCTGTACCCTGCTTGTCCGTTCTACTCAGGGATCCTTCTCTCCAGCAAACGAGCAAGCAACCGACGAAAATGGGTGGCTTTCTGAAGAGAACCATGGGTGAAGACAATTCAGAATCAGCCCGAGAGAGACGTAGCTTTAATTTTGGGCCACCTTTTCTTGAGAAGTTACCGTGCCAACAATCATGGTTTTGTCCACGATCTGGGCATTTCCATCTGGATCCTCTCCAGGGCTTCCGCTGCAGGGGGCCCCCTTTTACGGTTTCAAAGGGTGGGTTTTTGAGAAGCCCCGCGAGCGAACCCGCGGTCTCAAAGGGCTGTTGGCTGTTCTGAAGGGTCGCGATCAAACGTGGAGAAACCAACACATCAAAAGGTTGCTTTGGGGAAAAGCCTAGTGGTACCCTCTCCATTCTCTTCAGGGATGCTTCTCTTCAAAAAATGGGCCAAACACCTGGAAAAAAGGTGGTTTCTAAAGGGAATGTGAAGAGAATGGGGAATCCAACCCTTCGAAACAACCCACGCTGGTGGTGAGGCACCGACCTGGGGGGGTCCTTGCGTATCCCAGCGGCCTTCTGCGGAGTCGTGGGCTTCCGCGTGTCCCCGGGGCTCATTGGCCGCGAGGCGAGGGATCGAGGGACCGAGGGACCGAGGGACCGAGGTCCGACGTGGAGAGAATGGGTGGGCCAGTGTCTTTGTTTTGGAGGACTGGGAACCTCGACCCCGTTTTTGTTCGGGGCATCCTCCTTTTTCGGTGCCAGCAATGGTCGGGCCAACTGCGCGCGTGAGGCTCCCGGCCCCTCGGGCCCCCGGAACGCGCTGCACGCCATCACGGGGCCCATGGCCCGCAACGTGCGGGACTGCGGGCTGCTGCTGGACGCCATGGCCGGGGGCGCGGGCTGGGACTTCGAGTGCCCTCAGCCGGAGGCCTCGGCGGAGGGAAGCGGTGGAGGAAGAGCTCTGCTAGATTTGCATGGTACACCTGGGTGAGGTCGACTTGAGCAACCCAAGTGAGAGTTGCGGGACCCCCAGAATGCCGGAAGAAAAGGACCCCTTTCAAAATGAAAGGGGACCGAGCGAGTTGGTTTTTTGGGGTGGGGGGGTTTCTTTGGGGCTTCGTAGTGAATGTTGGACAAGCTGAAGGGAAACCCTGGCCCGTTTCAGGTTTTGGTTTCAGATTCGCAGTGTCATGGCAGGCGACCCCTCAGCAATCCCCCTTGGGGGCTCGCCGTCCTACATTTCTCTCTCTCTCTCTCTATATATATACACATTATTGGAGCAAGTGTCTAGCTTCTCTTGTGAATGTGTCCCTGGGGTAAGAGCTCCAAGTGCATACCTTTACACACCCTTAGTTTTTTCCCCGCGCATAGTGCAAAGAGTACTGTATTCTTGGGGCACGCCTCCCAGCAGCTGCATCTTGGCGCGCTGATGTGCGAAACTTTGTTGGAGCCCTGTCTCCCCGGCAGTCGGTTTGAGAGATGTTCTCGTCCTTTAGCTGGAGTCCTGCTCATCAGGTGGGTCCCAGTTTTTGCCTTTAAGGGTATGTACTGTTGAAGGGCTAAATATAGATATATGTTGTTGCTTGGTTGAGCATGATGGCTCTTGCTTTCATCTTGGTTTGAAACTCATCCCAAAAGGCCACATACTCTCTAGCATGGTTTCTCCCTCTCTCAACAGATCACCCCAACACCCCAAGCGTCCGGCCGCAGGAAGGCTTCGAGGCGGCGGCGGTGCGAGGGGCTTCGGCGTCGGCGAAGCTGCGGGTGGGCTTCTCGACCCTGGGATGCCGCTTTGCGCCGGCGGTGGAGCCTCCGAAGGGGGCGGCATGGGGGAAGTTGGCTGAGGGGTCGCTGGGCTTTTCCCCTCAAAGCCGGTTTAACCATCACTGCTTTAAGTGGGAAATACATTTCGAGCCCTGCCTGCTTGAATGGCGCCTTTCTTTGATAGCAAGGGGCACCCCCTTTAGAGTGATGAATTAGTTTCCCGGGGCGGGAATCCCCTTAAGATTTCGGGATATTTTCCTCTTCCTTAAGCGTCGCTTTGGGCTCGCCCGTTGCAAGCTTGTGGTATGGACAAAATCCTGCGCCAATTGGCGCCAGTGGACAATCAAGCAGTTTTCATCGGGTCTCCTAGGTGTTCATAGGTTTTGTGTTCCGCCTGGCGCAGGGCGGATTTTGCCCATGAGTATGTGGAAGGGTTCTGATGAATTGGTGCTTTTGCTCGAAATTAAGGAGCCCACTCTCAATGGGACGTCAATCCATCCTTCAGCGTCCAGGGCTTGGGCTTCCACGATTCTCCTTGGACCAAGGTTGAAACTAGCAGATGAGCGTGGTGCCACAAAACTTGGAATCCATTTTGAGTAAACCACTTTGGACTGCGAACCTATGCTTTTGGTACTGGCTCATTACTCTCCAAAAAAACAAAACAAAACAACAAACAACACCAAGAAGAACACAACAAAAAAGACCGCAACAACAAAACAACATGGGACATCAATTTCGAGTCCTTTACTTCATTACTCCCCTGCTGAATTTCTGGCGAGAGATGTTTCGAGTCTCGGCTTCAGGGGGCCGGGGAATCCCCCGCCCTCGGATAGGAGGCGCTGTGCCGCTCTGCGGCGGATCGGCTGGGGCCTGTGGTGGAGATCCCCGGGGAGGACTCGGGTGAAGACGTCACCGGAGTCGGATCCGAATCCTGAGGGTGTCGGATGTATCCTTTAAAGCCCGAAGACTTGTTTTTGGATGGGAGGGGAGATGAAGAAAAGGATGACCCTGGTCCAGTTCCTTGGGAATCTTTGGGATTCTGGAGTGAAGGGTCTGCTGAAAGCGGCTAAACGCTTGGTTTCCGTTCCGTTTCTCTTCAAATGTTCACCCAAACGGGGAATCCGAGTCCCATTTCGAGGAACTCCCTCGCTGAGCCGCGTGCGAGGAGCTGGGCGCCGCGGAAGCGCTGGAGGCGTTTGGGGCCCTCCGGGCCGAGACCTTCGCGGCGACTTATGGGCACCTGACGGACGAGGAGAAGGCGTCGGGGTTCGAATGGGTGGATCAAAGTAGGGGATGACGTTTGTTGAGGGTACTCCTTTGTTGGCTTTTTGGGGTTGGGAAGCCAAAAGGAAACAACAACCGTTCTAGGCCCCCCCCGATTTTGAGGCAAGCTCACTTCTGCTTTGTTTCTCGGTTTCGGGTAGAGCAAGCCATGATGAAGCTCCCATTCGGGATCCGATTCTTATAGGTTTTTGGGTTAGGTGCTCAATGAGGGTTGAGCGAGGTTTGCGCGCTGTTTCCCCGATCAATGAGCAAAAAACACTTTGCCGGCAATCGATAGCGTTGGCCCCTGACCAGACCCTCAGTTTCTTTTCTTTCTTTTTTTTTCTCTGTGTTTTCAGGGGGGGGGGGGACAGCCATTGGAAATAAGCAGTCCTTTGGGGAGGGGTTGATCAATCAATGGCCACCTGTTTTTTGGCCTGCCGTATTTTCACCTGCCGGCCCGCTTGGTGACCAACCCCGTGTTTCGGTCTGTTTCTTTCAGTCAGGCGCCCTTTTTGGGAGCAGCGGCTACCGAAAGCAGCAGCTTCAATGAAAGAACTTGGGTGAAAGAACTTGGATGATTTTTGCTGAACCCAAGGGTTAGCCTTAAGAAAGGGCAGCCCGTCAGCCCATTTGGCAACTTGAGCTGTGAGGCCTTGGTGAAGCCCGAGGTCTTGTGGAGCCTCGGCTTGAAGTCAGCGTGCCAGCCCGACGCCCAGAAAAGTGATCAAGGAAATGTAGGGGAAAGCGTGGGGACCTTCTGATTGGAGATCGGGTTTGTCACTAAGTTCCTTTGCTGGTAAACACCCTCGTGGTTGCCAGGGTTGAAGGCGGGGGTTGATAGATTCCGTTTCCAGGCGGGGATGTGCCATGACCCTTGGGTCGGAAAACAAACAAGGCCCCCCAACATTCACCATCATAGCAGCACATGGATCGATGGTACACGTTTAACGCACCAAGCACGTTCGGTGACAATGCGGTTGAAAAGGGGTCCGTTTTGTCGACAGGTTCTCAACATCCTTCTGGAAGGTGGTCCGCCCATGAGGAATCTCCAGATTGTGTCTGGGGCATCATAGCTCACAGCGCTGTTGTTTTTTGTTTTTGGTATGTGTCAAGATAGGAGTACACGGCACCCCAAACATGGTGGTGGTCCTTTTGGATCCTCTTGATTTCCCTGCGAACCGATCTGGATACCTTCAACTTGCCTTTCAAAATCTGAAAAGGGTACCTTCACAGACATACTCTATCATACTCTCCTTGGAGCCGTCTTTTTGAGCGAATGTCCAAAGCCGCATTGCCATGCTGTGGATGAACGAACGAATTTATGCACCACTTTGAAACCATGGGAAACCATTGTTAGTTGGAATTTACAGGGAAACCATCATATTATTATTTTTCCCGGTGGTGCGAAGTGGATTTCGTCCATCCACAGCATCACCGTCGAAACCTCGCACCTGGGGTCCCCGAGGAACGTGGCAGAAGGCCAGAAGCCCGGCGCCGCCGCGCGCGCGGAGGCGGCGCGCGCGGAGCTGCAAAAGGTGCAGGCGAAGGTTCAGGAGCTTCGCTGGTCAGGGCTTTGGGCTTGCCTCAAGGTTTTGGTTGGCCAGACAGGGGGTTTGGGCTTGGGATAGCCAGAAGGGAGGAAAAAGGATGCTTGTGGCATCCCTTCGGCTAAGCTTTTGGGGTGCCAATCTTGCCGGGGCCTTTCTCTTTCTTCCCAAGACATACTTAACCTCTCACGAAACTGTAGCTTGTTGCCTTGGTGCTTCTTTTGGGTTCCCGGGCTCTCCTTGTGGTTTTACATCTTTGGTTCCGGCAGGCAACTCAACAGGCGAATAGCAATGCCCAGGCCGCCCAGGCCACGAAGAGTGGGGTCCCCTGGGCCCACAAACCTACCCAACCCGCAAGAGAAGCAAAACCAAGCCCAGAGCGGAATCGGGCGATTTGATGCTGGACGCCATGCAAGTGGTTGCATGGACATGCTAGCTTTGAAGAATATATATATATATATAATGTATGTATGTATGTATATATATATATATATATATCAAAATTTATATTTATATATATGTAGATAACAGGATTCCATCCCCCCATGACTTCAGATCAATCTGGGATGAGCACAATCTGGGCGGCAGTTTTCCGTTTGGCTTCCCCTAAGGGCACCCTGCAAAGAATACTCCCCTGTCATTCAGTTGATCAAGTCACATTTTACTATATCTATTCACTTCAACATACACTCCCAAGATTTGAATACATTTTTCAGCGACTTTGCAAAGGGATTTGGTGACCGCGACCTCGAGGCCTATGAAACCTTCCTTTCATTCAGATAATATGAGCTGTGGCCCCTTGAAAAGATCGAGTCTTCGGTCCATCTTGTTTCCAATAGTTCGAGCTGCTTTGTTTTCTTCCAATCGTTTGACCTTCTTCTGGACCGGCTCTTGTGCGTCATGGGTTGGGACTTGTTCATTCCGGAAGGGCCAAACCCCTTGTCTGTAGAGCCTCCGGCTCAGTCCGCCGACATTGTCCTCTCCCTTGTCTCTTTCTTCCTCTCTCCCTTGTCTCCCTCGTGTGTTCTGTCGTCCTCTCTCCCTCCCTCTGCTCCCCATCCTCCCCATCCCCCCAAGCCTCTCTCTCCTCAATCCCCCTCTCTGTCTCTCTCTATCTGTCTCTCTCTCTCTCTCTCTCTCTCTCTCTCTGCTTCTCTGTCTCTTTCTGTCTCCCTGTCTCCTTCCTGTCCACAGAAAAAGGGTACCCTAATTGTAACCTCTCTACTGGAGGACCTAGTCTCTCTCTCTCTCTCTCTACCTCCCTCCCTCCCTCCCTCTCTCTCTCTCTCTCTCTCTCTCTTCCTCCCCCGCTCTCTCTCTCTCTCTCTCTCTTGCAGCGTCACGTCCCCCCTGAGTTGCCTCGATGTCCGGGCACTGCCCCTTCATGACCCTGAACTGTCATCTCACAACTGGCTTTCCCCTTGATTTCCCCTTCATGTCCTTTTCACGTTTCTCATGATGTCCCGGTCATGTCCCTTCCATTCCTTTCAACTCCCCCTTCATGTCCCTGACATTTTCTCGGTATGTCCGCTTCATGTTCAATGTATCCCGTTCTTGCGTTGCGAGTCCTTTCCCTACATCTCCCGTCGTGCCGATTGGTTTCCTTGTGCTTTGTTTCCCTTTCATTTCCCGTTGCTTTCCTGTCATGTCGATTTCCTTGCACTTCCTTGCATTTCCCCTTTGCTCCCCAGTATTTCCCGCAAGAAAACACGGTTTTCCCAGCGTTTTCACAAAGAGGACGTCCAAAAGCACATAGTTTTTCCAGATTTTTGGCAAAAGGAGGCAGGAAGCCCAAGCCAGCAAAAGAGCCGGCAGGGGGAATCGAGCCTGGGACCCCTGTTTTGCGACTGGCTCCCCGAAGGCTACGTTTAGCGGAACGTCATCAAATTGCCGCGCGGTACCCCCCGCCCCCAAAACCTACGTATCAGACGTCGGGCGGGGGTGCGGGGGGTTAAGCGGGGGGGGATATCCTTTATCCTCTAGTAAGTATCCGACACGCCGAACAATGTCGGCGGATATGTTTAAAAGAGCCTACCCTACATGTAGAAATGCTCAAAAAGCCACCTACCCCCTTCAATAAACGCCTCCTCTTGAAAAAAAGAAGAAGAGAAAAAGCATCTCCTTGGGGTTTTCCGAAGACCAGGAGGTCTTCGGGCGCATCGACGTGCTAATAGCGCCCACCACGCTGGACGCCGGCTTCGACGCCTCGGTGCGGTACCCCGCGCGGCTCTGCGGCCAGAGCTTCGAGAACTACCTGGGCTGGATGGCGCCCGCCTGCGTGGTGAGCGCGCTGCCGGGCAAAAGGGAAGAGATGGGGGGTGGGGGAGGGGAGGGTGGAATCGTTTTTCTTGAAGAGGAAACCAAACCTTCTTAGAGGTGCCATGTTGGTGGAAGGGAGGGTAGGGTACTGTGGATGGACGAAATCCACTTCGCACCACTTTGACACCCTGCGAAACCCGTATTTGTTGGTATTTATGGGGGAATCATCAGAGCCAAGGTTTCTTAGGTGGTGCAGAACCCAGTTTTGACCAGGGAGGAAAGGATGGGGGGGATGTGAGGATCCATCTTCCGTTTTCGGACACCGGTTTGGACCAGCATTGGGGAATGTTCCCCATTTTGCGGGACACTTGACTACGTGTGGTATTCGGGTTGCATGTCAGGGGTTTCCAAACAAAGGACAAAGCTAAACCGGCCTGTCGTTTTTAAGGGAACCCCCTTTTTGTGGAGTACATTCTGATTCGGCCTGATGCATTGTGAGTGTGTGCGTGGTTTGCCAATTATGTTTAGTTGTTCCAGCACATGTGCTTATTTGTCCATGTATTTGCCGATTTGCTGCGACCTGAGGTTCTCATGCCCGGCTTTGAACCTGCCCTGCGGGTTTCTGGAGGCAGGGGTTTTCCTTGTCCACTTGCATAGGGAACCCACCAGAATCCGGGCTTTACATTCTGTCCCTCCGTTTTTGTCGTTGTGTCCTCATGGGGTTCCTTCGCTTTCAGGGCGCCACAATTTTTGGGAATAAGCCGAACTCAACCACCAGGGCACCGCAGCTAGTCCTTATTTCTTACCAGGGTTCCATTTCGGCCTATTTTGACCCACAGCCTGATGCGCGCCGGGAGGACGGGCGCCCGGTGGGCGTGCAGCTGGTGGCTCCCTTCGGTGGGGACGGCCTGCTGCTGTCCATCGGCGCGCAGCTGGAGCAGAGTCTGGGGCTTCCGCAGGCGGGGTTTGGGTTTGGAGGCGGCCCGGTAGGAGACACCCTGGACTCCCTATATGGGTCTTTCTTTCTTTTTTTGGGACCACCCAAAAAGGCGGTTTTTCATTTGGCGTCCAATGAAAACGAACGAAAAAGAGGGTTCCCCTGGTTTTGTGGTACCCCCCCCCCCCGGAATACTCAGGTTGTTGTTCAAAAAATAAGGGTTTTACGTAAACATGCATGTAAACTGCACTTTCCAGCTTTTAAAACGATGCTCCAAGAATGCACTTCCTTTTCTCGGTTTCTAGCATCAGTACTCAGTGCAATCCAGGATGTGCTAGCACATCCTGCATTGCCCAAGTATGGATGGATTTGAAGAATGCAAAAAGGCAGACAAGGAGCCCACGTTCCAAGAGTCAAGTAAGATGCGCATGGCCTGCATTTTGCGAGAGGGAAACTTTTGTTTTTTGCTTAACAAATATTTACCAGTTTTCTCAGAAAACAAGATTTGAGATCTTCAGTCTTCAATGCAGGTGGGGAAACCTTAAAGAGTCTAGGAACAAAAAACTGTCGATCTTTTTGGGGGCCAGGGTTGGGGATGTTCTAGAACGGTTTATGTGGAATCTTGAATATTCGGCCGGCGATCCAGGGCAACACGATCTGAGCGAACGCTGAAAACACTGCGTTTTACAGAATTGTGTTCCAATTAAAAGATCTATGCTTGGAAACACTTTATTTGTTATTTGGCTTGGCCTAGTTCTTGCTTGGTTCAAACCACATGGAGTTAAATACAGGCAATAACCCTCGTGAAATTGAGCTTGTTTCCAGTTTCAGCTGGCGATGACAGTATCTGTGGTCTCCAATTGTTTATTGATATGCATACGACACTGCAACCGGTTATAGTTGAATTTAGTTGGAACTCGAAATCATTTTAGCTTGGATATCCTTGCTATTTTTGACTTTCAACAGTTGTCATTGACAATGATTGATTTGCACCAGACAAATAACACACAACTGAGATAGCTGCTTTGCAACTTGGACTTGAATACACCTAGTTAGCATGTATATGGAATTATGTACACAAATGCATTTACATGTAAATGCACCTGCGCAAGGACATAAAGCACTTTTATATTTGATTTGGATGTCAGTTGCAAGTAGGACTGAGTTCCTTCACCATTAAGTCCATACTTAGAAGCTCGATGTATATTAATGTTATTAAATCCACGCACTTGCAGGCCCTAAGGCTTGGTTTTTAGAACAAGCACTAACATCTGTCTGCTTAGTGTGAAATGACATTCCCAAGCTCGCAGGGCAAGGAACACCATGAAAGCCTGATAGTGACTATGTGTGACACCATTCGCGCCCAATAAGGGTCGTAACCCACATACGCTCGTAGCCCACATGCGCTCGTAGCCCACATGCGTGTATACATATATATGTATGCAGCCTCAGGCAGCTGCTGTATAGTCAAAGTAGCACAGTTTGCACCCCGCGATTCTGAGCATCGAGCGAACAAAAGCATATGTAGAACAAGGGTTGCAAGTAAGCGATACCTCCACAGGCTTCACCTTGAGAGGAAGAACGAAGAGCTACGTTTTCACTTGTTCCAGCCCGCCGCACATACCCGCGTAGGGCTGCGAGCCTCGGCCGGCACCTGGGCCCATTCCGACGGAGGGGCCCAGGCAAGAGGGTTCGAGGGGACGGGTCGCCCAAAGGGCGGGGTTTCTTCTGGGTTTCCCTTTGAACCAAAGGGTTCCGGCAGAAAAACGAGACAAACTCGTTTGGGTAGGTAAGGAGAGAACTAAAACCAAATGTGGACTTGTATGGAATCGTGACATCTACTTCCACCCAATTGTGCTTGATAGATCCTCAGACACTTGGCAAGTGGAGCAGGCTCCATTTGTTCCTGCAACCAAAGCGTCAAGTTTCGGGGTTTCAGACAAATAGGTGTCCGTAGATCAGTTACTTGGACACATCTGGATTCCCCGCCATGTTTCCGAAAGCACCGCATCATGGGAGTGCTGTCAGACCATCCAAGGAACAAGTGTAAGTTTCTACGGGCCAAAGCAAAGCATGTGTTCTATGGGTCCAACCTGAACCATGGAGCACTGTTCCTTTTCAGTTACTTATTCGTATCAACCACCAGCTAGTTCCTGTTCTAGGATGTAATATTCCAAGTTCCGACTGAAATGGGGTTCTGTTGTGTGTGTGTTTTTTAGACCCTGGAGGCTGATCAACCTGGCGGATGGTTCGGGGCATCCCTTCAAAAGTGATCCGGACTCCTAAAATGGATTGCAGGAACCCAAACATCCCGGCACCTGCGCTCGTCTACCCCTGGAGTGGATGGGATACTTCTGTTCAGAAGGAACATTTCACAGATGTTCTTGGTCTTTTCTGTGGCTCTGAAGCAGTAGTGTGGATTAATCAACCTGGCGGTTTAGGTTTTTTCTTCAACAGTGATCCGGATCCCCTCTGAAGTTGGGACACTTACCAGCAAGAAAACCAGGGGTTTATTTCATCAGGGCCAAACTTATTTGGGTTCGTGATGGAAGGTTCGCAGGTTGAAGGCTTGTTTGGCGCTCTGCACCTTTTCTGGTTGGTGACCTGCTATACTTTCAGTTTCCTCAATCAACTGGGCCAAACTGAATGTTGCAAATTACGACCCATGGCCGAAGATAGCTCTTCATGGGACAGAGCTTTTTTGCATATTCATTCTCCTTTCCCCCCCGAGCTCTTCATCGCCTTCCTTCTTTGGGGCTGCAAGCCCGCGGCCGCGCGCCTTCCGCTCGCAGCTCGCGCGTGCGGCAGGACCGCAGAGGAGGCGGCCGCCCACCACGGGCTTTGACGCCTTTGTTCGCCTCGGCGAAGAAAAAACGATGGGCGCGGACCGGCCCTCGAAAAGCATCCGACGCTGAAGCTTTAGGACAAGTTCCAACCGCCCCCTGTTTGGGTGGACAAGAAGTGTTGGGCAATGATGTTTTTTCTGTTTTCTGCTTTTGGGGCTAAGAAGGAGTTCCATCTTGGTGCGCGAAGTTGGAAGGAGACACGAGGAGCCCTGATTGACGCTTTGAACTTGGCGAGCCTTCATTGTTTCCTATACTCCCAAGAAAGAGGCCCCTAGTTTTGACGACAGTTCAGTTTTCGGGATATTGGAGACTCATTCAATTTCCGATGCAACTAGTGGCAAAGACCAAAAGTGATGCCGACAAGCAGTATCAGTGCTTCTTTTGCGTCCTCAGGTTAACTCCCTATACCCTGGAAGTTCCCTAGTTAGGACTTGTGTGCGTGGCCTTAGTTGAAGCCGGTGGGGGGCTTGCTTTGTGTGGTTTCTTCGTCTCGCGCGAGCGCTGGAGGCTCATTTTTTGAGCCTTCTGCAACTGGAAACGGACTGGAGGATCCGTGGCACTTCATGCAAGTGAGATGCAGGCAACAGCTCGCTTTTGCCGGATATTTTGCGTTTGTTTAGTGGAGGGCTCCGCCCACCCACCGTTCTGGGGTACCCCTATTTTGGCGCATACCCATACCGCGTTTGTCAGGGGGAAATCAAAGTGACCTGACCCTCACAAAGGGCTCAGCGGACAGGCGGCCATCCCAAGAGGACTACAGTCCATGGTATGTTGATTGTCGCCATCCGTGTGCCTCCAGCACATGCATTTTGTGGGATTGCATCCTGGGGAAATGACAAACACATCGTCCCTAACAGCGAGGCTTTGCCTGGAAGCAGAGTGAGATGAGGCAGTTCCAACCAGTTGGTGCAACCCCAGTTGGTATAATTCCAGGAACAACTGTTGCACAAACAAGCAGATGAACCATTTCCCTCCAGGGAACCAAGCGAATCACCCTTCCATAACTGACAGGACAATGGCTGGTTTAACGTAGTGTTAGCTGGAATCCACTGGGCTGTTGACTCTGCCACCCTAGCACCCGCGGCTCGCCGCAAACTGCGAGCCCTCGGCTCGCCAACCGCGCACGAGGCGACCCGGCATGCGCTTTCCAGCTGTGCAGATTCTGCGAGGGTGCGGATGGGCCGATTGGGGAAACCCAAGAAGAATTATTAGTTTCGGTGGGCTTGTCTCAAGGTTTTCTTTGGGTTCCCCCAGATCAGGTTTCCGTTGGTTTTCGCTTCAGGGCACGAGAGCTGTTAGGAGCACCCAGGTGTCCTTTGGGTTTGAACGGATTTTTCTGGGAAATGAGTTGAACACCCAGTGCAATCGTTTTGGCCAAGAGGACCCGTCAAGACTACACTCCGCAGCAAACCTCTAAATAAGCAGCAAGTGCGGGGGTAAATGACCAAGGCGGGTTATTGTGTCATACGCTTTGGGGTCTAAGGTTTTGGGGAGATCCTTCGCCGGTCAACCCACAGATTGGCAACTAGCCTGGCGAATTGGAAGCGGCAAAGAAAGGCGGGACACCTCTGCCCACGTCGGCCTGGCTGACCTTGAGCTATCGCTTTGAGGTGTCCTTGCTTGAAGCTCAAATGGGGCTTGAGGAACTTGAGTTGCGGCGTCGCACTAGATGCATGTCTTGCATTTGCAAGGGTTGTTCCTACCTGGCATCAGCTTGGGCCCTTCAATCAATTTTTGAGTTGTGGGCATGAGCCGTAGCAATTTGTATACTAGGGGTCACTTGGAGCGTTTGGGGGCACATGGCCAAAACCACCCCGCTGATTTTGTTGTGAATAAGTCTGACTGGATCCGTTTTTTTTTGGGGGTAGGGCTGCTTTTTTTTTTTTGCTAGGGCTGGTCCCCTGGTTGGTTGGTTGGTTGGTTGGTTGGTTGGTTGGTTGGTCGGTCGGTCGGTTGGTTGGCCGTCATCCCCGGCATCACCAGCCTCACTTGGCTTTGGGGCCGTCTATTGGCTCTGATTGGGTGGCAGTTAGGAGTTCCTGGGGGCTGGTTTAAGTTAGGGGGGCTGTTGGCTGGCTTAGATCTTCATGAGGGTGGGTCTTGGGGTGGTTTGGGGTTGATTTAGGCGAAGCGAAGGGCTGACATCCAGGCTGCTGTTTAGGCGGGTTTGGGGTTGACTTTGAGAGGGTTTGGGTTGGTTTGGAGCTGATTTGTGTTAGGTGTGCTTCTGGTTTAGCAGTGTGGTTAAGTGAGTTTTGGTCTCGTTTCGGATCGCTTTTGGGGCAACGCGAAACGAGACCAAAACTCACTTAACCACACTGCTAAACCAGAAGCACACCTAACACAAATCAGCTCCAAACCAACCCAAACCCTCTCAAAGTCAACCCCAAACCCGCCTAAACAGCAGCCTGGATGTCAGCCCTTCGCTTCGCCTAAATCAACCCCAAACCACCCCAAGACCCACCCTCATGAAGATCTAAGCCAGCCAACAGCCCCCCTAACTTAAACCAGCCCCCAGGAACTCCTAACTGCCACCCAATCAGAGCCAATAGACGGCCCCAAAGCCAAGTGAGGCTGGTGATGCCGGGGATGACGGCCAGCCTGCGAAATAAACAGCCCTAAAAAAAGAAAAATCACGTCACCTAAGTCTGACTTCCAAGTCCAGTCCTTTAAGGAAACCACATAGGAACGGCCGAAGTTGTGGGTTTCCTTGTGAACGCCCTGTAAGTGCCATCCAAGGCGGGTGCAAGACCGGACTTGGTCATACTCGAGGGCAGGTAGTTGGGATCTCTTAACATGAGGGGAAAGACGCCGCACCTCTTCCTTAGGCAAAGCCACGTCCTTAAAGTTCTAGAGCTATGCAAAACCACTTGAAGCCAATGCGGAGGACACAACACACCGCTAGCAGATAGGCCTAGGCAAGCCTTTGACAGGATGTTCAAGCAATGGGTATTCGACTGAGAACACAACCGGTGATCAACTGTTAATTTTCCAAAACCTTGCGACTGAATGTCACGTGCTAGAGATAACGGGGAGACTACTGTAAGACTACGGGAAGACTGCAGGAGGCTAGGTTGACATACGACCGTTGAACCCTCTGAACACCGACAAAGTAAGGAGGACGAACTTAACGCTTATAGGACATCCCTTTCTAAAGAAAGACGCTTATAACAGCGCTCATAAGGAGGAAAAACCGCTGATAAGGAGGAAGCGCATATAAAACAACTAACTTTTGCAACACCCAACTTCTCGAATCAAATCTACGGAGCGGAGCCGAAAAAAAAAGAAAAGGAAAAAACAAACAATAAAAAACCAAGGACCCAAACGACAATTTCTACGCCTCGTGAGGCGTGGCCAGGCTGGCTGCGGGGTTCAGGGGCGGTCCCAACAAAACAAGGGGCGGGGCCAGGCCTCGTGGTTTTTGTCGGGCATCTTTTTTGTGTCGAGGGGGCGGGGGGGGGGGGGACCTGTGTTTGAGGTTTGCCATGTGGAAAGGAATCCCACTTCAGTGTCAGCCATTCTCACCAAATCAAAGGACTGAAGCAACGGTTGACCAACCCGGTCCGGGTCCAAATCATTTACAATGTCCAAGCGCGGAAGCTCACCTTCTGGGTAGCTCACTTTCTGAGTTCCTGGACCTGACACTTTTTGGCGCTGAACCATTATCGTGGCGAGCAACCAGTTTTGATCTTTTAGCCAGTCCACTCAGGAAGTCCACCCAAGGCAGCCAGTGCATTTTTGGCTCGTTCCGCTGAAGTAGCACAAGAAGATTGTGGTGATGGAAAAGATCAAACGCGGCCACCGCCAACAAAACCAAGCGTGGCTGTTCTGGGCCCGTCGGGTGATATGAAGAATGACGCTTTCAGGAGTGTGCTCTACACCCAAGAATGCAACTGCCACCCAGGCTACTTTCCTTTTGGTGAGGGTTCCTGTGCCTGCCAGCTGTTTTCTTGATGCATTCCCTGTAATTCAGCTTCCGGCGACGTAGTAGTTAGGGGTGGCTTCCCATTTACCCTCTACAAGAAGCAGGAAATCAAACGCCCGAACCACCAATCCAAACCCCGCCAATTAAGGGGCACCTGACAACTCCCTATTAATTCCCTGTATCCTTCTTAAGTTTCGGGTTGTCTCAATATCCGCCGCACACAAAATGGGCCACGTCTTGCGGGCTGCGAGGCGCGCGCTGCCTGTCTATGACCGCTTTGCAGGACGCAAAGAAGCATGGGGCATATGGTGTGAACCTCTCAAAAGTGTGAGGCGGACATCAATCCCCGCCTAGATGATTTGCGCTAAGGAGTCCGCAATCAAGATCCATGCCCATGTGAGGTTTGGGCTACACTTCCCAGTCTTTGGTCTGTTGAGGGACGTGCGGGACGAGCTCTAAGTTTCCCAAAATAAGATGAGGGGATGGGCCCCCATTGTCTCCCATGTCCTGTAGGGAAGCAAGTAATTTTGACCGCGGCTCAGGTGGGGTTTGGGACGTGCTAAATACCGCGGTCTGGCTTCATTTCCGAAGCAGTCGAGTATTTGGAGGGTGCATAGATTTGTCCCTTTGCCCACCTTTCAGGATTTTTGCCGTGTCTACTCTGAATATACATATATATATATATGGATACATATATACATGTATATACGCACATACATATGTACACACATATATATATATACACATATGTATATATATATATATATATGTATATATGTACATATAGATGTATATGCATATGCACATATATATATATATGTACATGTATATGTATATGCGCAATAGTGGGACCACCTTGCTCGAAAAGAAAGGCAGCCCTTTAGCCAGGCAATTCGGACAACGCGGGATCCTAAAACTTCTTCAGGGAACTGTGACACTATGAGCCATCGGTAGTCGACCAGGCACACCCACAAGCTTCTGCAGGGAAGCTGAATTTCAGATCTGCATGTCTCTTGGTTCACAACCTGAGGTAGATTTGTCTGTGTTTCCTCTTTTTTTTCCTGGGAGATACCGGGGTTAGCAAGTCCAAACCATCGTGCGACTATGTCAATCCCCCTCGAAACCCCAACGGCTTACATTCTTCCCAGGTATTTGCACGCATCGTTCTTTTCAGCAACCTCCCTGAGTTTAAGCGTTTTAGGTATATTTCCGAACACGATGATCCCTGGGAAGTATAGGGGAGTACAGCTATAATTTTGTTCCCTCATCACACTTCCTAAATGCAACCCCCAACCCCTCCCACGAAGATTTCCGTATTCGTTGGCTCACCAGGTATGAAGACCAAAACCGGATAGTTTTCCGAGGTTACTTGATCCAAGGAATTGTTGCCGCGTCTACCCTTGGCCCTAGATATACCCCAAATATATCATGCCGCAGGTACATAAAATCCCCGTTCTCTCTTGGGGATACATGGCAAGGAGATGTCAGAAACCCAAACGGAGTAGGCGGGACGACTGGATAACCCCTCTTGTGTCTTTTGCTATTTGGTGTACCGCTGAAGCTTTCTTCCCTGTTGGAAAGTGTCAGCTTCCCTTCAGCGAAAATATCTATTGCACTCCAAACCCGTTCCTGGGGAAATCAAAGCCTTCTGGAGTGTAGCAAGCATTGAATGCAGAGGAACCTCAAATTCCTACCCGAGGTGAGTCGAGTGGAAGGCATTTGTGGCTTCCAGCGTCACCTAGCATGCAGAATTAAGGACCTGACTCAAAGCGGCACATGGCAATCAAGACAGCTCTGGTTCATGAATTGGGGTCCCATTTCCCTTTTCCGTGGACACAAGCCCACGAGGAAACAAGCCGATGACGAATCTGGGGCTGACCTTACCCGTTTGCCCTGTGCTTGCTTCCTTTCTGTGTCGGACAGCAGGGTTTGGTGGGGGCAAAGTCGGGTTTAGCAACCAGGCACTGGATGGGATTGGTAGCTCATGCATGCCCCTTTGTCATGCTCCTCTTGCATGCCCCTTTTCCACGCCCTTTGCTTCGGTTTACAATGGGCATGTAGCTTTTTTGGGGAGAGGGTATGATATGAACAACAACAGAGACAAGCCCTTTCGGGGTCCTTGAAGGTCTCAGTTGAAGAAGGAACCCTTATTTGGGTTTTTTGATTTTCTTAGGAAGCTTAGCAGCTTAACTGCCACGTTTTCTCCAACTATCTTTCGAACAGACACACACACACACACAACTACGTGTCCTTCGTTTTTTCAATCCTTTTGAAACACCTGTCTTTTTCGCGAAGCAAGCCGCAGAACGAGCAATCTTGTTTCAAAGGCCATGACATGGCCATGCCCCCCGCTGGCCGCGGCTTCCGCGGCTGCGGTTGCGGCGGCGGTTTCCGTGCTGCTGGTGCGGCGCCGAGCCGCTTTTGGCCGCGGGCGGCTGCGGGGTCGCAGCGTCCTGGTGGCTCGGTAAGGTCAGGTGGGGTGTTGTCAAGCTACGGGGTCCTCTTTATCTCTTAAAGGGGCACAATGAAAGTGGCACTTTGGGCCCCTTTTGACCTCGGCCATCTTTTTCACAGACCCTCAATTGGGCACAAGAAGACCTTCTTGTTGAGACCATGAGATAAGTCGTGGATATGTGTACGGCCCATTTCGTCCTCTCCACAAACAAGCTCGCAGTATAGTCCCTGCTCAGCGCTTCAATGGGTGGATCCGGATCCCCGGCATGTGTGTTCTGGATCATGGACAAGCCAGTAAACCAACGACTTGGGGCGAAGGGGACTTGCCACTAAATTGTATGGTTTTTTGCGCTGTCACTCTCCTGCAGAGTAACATGGAAGGCAACACAAGCCATCCTTTTTAGAGGAACCGCATTTTGGGATAGTTTTCTTTTTGGGTTCCTTCTGTTCATTTGCATCATATGGCATACCCAACAACAGGTCTACAACCAACAAGGGGCTCCTTGGTTGTTCAACAAGTCGCTACTAACCGTGGCGAGATCACTTGCTTACCTGATCGTGGTTTAGCGTTTCCCAAAACCACATGGTGGCTGGCTATGGGTTGTGTATTCCTCGAATCCCCTGGCCTCCACGAAACCCTAGCCGGGGGCGGGGGGAAACATTTGAACGAGACTTGGATGTTACGCCAGGTATATGATCTCAAGGAAACTGAGACCAATTTCGCCCACGAGATCGCATGGATGGAACATCCATGTCTACCCAAATCCACCTGGATCCTTGGTGGGTCACATTCGCTCGCGGCGAGCTGGGCGTCCGGAAGCGGTCGTAGGTCACCGGCGCGGGGCGGGGCCTGGGTAAAGAGCTAGCGCTCGCCTGCGCGCGGAAGCAGTGCGGCAAGCTGCTGCTGGCGGGACAGCCACAGCTGTGGGGGTGCTTGATTTGGGTTCTTGATTTGGTTTGGAAGATGTACCGTGGTTCTTGATTTGGGTTGGGGTTTGGCCATGCCGGCTTTCCTGGGCTCGTGGCTTTCGGCAGCCTTTGAGCAGGCTATCAGTTGATGAGACCCATGATCGCAAACACCAGGCCAGTTTAGCTGCAGCTCATCAGTGAGGTCATTAATCCTGTTCTGTGGGCGGTTGGACAACCAGCGCAAGGATTTCCAGGACCCCTAATAGTTACGGGCATGAGGTTAGGATACGACCCGGCAGACTTGCCAACCACCATTTGGTTATGTGTCCAAACAGGGGATCAACAAACAAGTGGTTTCCCATCTCCCTCTACAACACCAGCCTGATAAAGATGTCCTTAGATAGCCATCAGGATTGCCCACCCCCTAACATGGAAGGTGCCCCTCAATCAAAACTTGGGTGGATTTCCGCCCTTCGGCTCTTTACATGGTTGCTTCTCAAAACAGGAATTGTCCACCTAAAAGTTGCAGTTTTTTGGTTTCAGGTATATATACCTTTCCGGTCCGAAGCCCATTGCAGAAGCTCCCACATGGTGTAGACCACGTAGATTCTGATGCAACTCGCCAGGTGGACCTCAATAGCACCGAAGAGGCGGCACAGGAAGCGCGGCGGTGTGGCGCCTCGATGGCTAGACAGATCGATCCCCTTCAACTCAAGTCTCGCAGGAGTCGAATCTTCGCCCCATCTGGGTATGTCTAGGAACCCAAAACGAAAAGCCTTGCCGTTTGGGGGGGTTCCCTCTATATACCGTTGAGAACCGAGGCAATGATACGCTTGACAAAATCCAGGCCTCATCGGCGCCCGTCTATAGGGTGTCACCCATTCCAACTGGCGTGAAGTGGATTTTGTCAGCGCAGGGCTCGACGTTTCTTAGCCACGCGCTGATTGAACTTCAGCTTGGCAGGTAGGGCCTTTGCATGGAAGGTTGCGGGGAGTCGGGGAATGTCCCTTTGAGACAATGTCACAGAGGATGGGACGTCACCATTTCCATGTGACACTTCTACGCGCGAGTGTACATCTACACACGATTAGATAATATGTGAACCTGCGATGCATGCATATATGCCCGTGTGAATCCATCCATCCATCAATCCATCCATCCATCCATCCATCCAGACATCCATCCATCCATCCAGCCAGCCAGCCAGCCAGCCAGCCAGCCAGCCAGCCAGCCAGCCAGCCAGCCATGCATGCATGCAGCATTGCATTCTATGTCGTTCGATTGCAATTCCAGTTCCAGGTCCATTCCACTTCCACTTCCACTTCCACTTCCATTCCATTTCACTCCCGTCACATCCGATCGGATTCAAGCGAATCCAACCCATTCAATCACTCACACAGGTGCCTGTCTAGGGTGAAAGCAGTCGGCACATTCGCTATGGGTAAGTAAGGCTTTTTGGCATTTGCGTGCGGTTATGCCATCTACATTTCATTCACTCCGACTCACCCCCTGCATGCCGTTCATTCCGTTCATCTTCACTCCCATTCGTCTATCCACTGGATTTTTTCCAGCCCTCACCGGGCCCCCGGGCACCTCGCAGTGACAGGCAACTCCGACCTGGAGATCCTCACCTTCCAGGGGGACGTGGCCAGTGAGGACGTGCCGAACCCGTTCCCCGTTGGTTTTTGGTTCTTGGAAAGTCGCTGGGTTTCGGGGGTGCAAAAGCCCCGAGCTGGGGCTTTTTTGTTCGGCTTGACTCGTTGGTGCCCCTGGTGCTCTTTGACTTGGCTTAGAATCAAAGAGTAAGTGGGCCACCTCCCGCTTCCAAGCTTGCCTCTTCGGAAACTGGGGGTTCTGCGACATGGGCCAACCCCTTCTGAAACATGTTTCATCCATTGTTGTTTCAACAACCTTCATCCATTGTTTGGGTTCGCCTAAACGGGACCAGGGTCCCCTGTCGACTTCCCAGGAGGCGGTGGGGGCAGTGTGCTCAAAGGTGCCGGCGGGCGCGTTGACTGCGCTGCTTTGCGCGGGGCAGGTGACGGGGAAGCCCCTGCTGCCCGTGCGCCGGGCTGAGCTTGCAGGGTCACTTGAGTGCTCAAAACCCCCCAGAAAACGGAATTTGAGTTGGTTCGACTGCCTGAATTATCGTGAGTTATGTTTAGGCCAAAACCCTTTACAACCATGTTGGCAGAATCAGAAGTCAAGGGGTTTAGGGCGCTGCTCAACCCAATGCGGAAGTTAGAAGTCAGGGGGTAGGTCCCCTGCGCCTGAGCAGGTCAGAAGTGGGGTAAGTGAAGTTAACTCCCTCTAAACCATGTTTATAACGTACTTGCCCCAAGTAGGTTTGAAGTGAGAAGTGAGGCAACTGGGGGTATTTACGTCATAGCCATAGTCATAATGTACTTACCCTTGATTCTAAGCACACGACTGAAACATATGGTAAGAATTTCCTCCAACTGGGGCCCTCCAAGCCTACCGCCGAGAAGAATTTATTTTAATAACCCCCCCTTTTGAAGGGACACCGAATGGAGCTTGTTTAAGCAACATTGAACATTCCGAGGCGAAACTGGATTTACTGTTTCCTTCTTTTAAACCTGTCAATTACGTTGGGGGGGGGGAGAACTGTTTTAGAAGCACAGACACTGGCACATGCGGATCCACATGGTGTCTCAAAGCAGGGGAATCCAGAAAATATTTAATTTCCCTTGGCTTCCACAAGCAAGCAGCACACCCAAAGGGCACCAACTTCAATCAACACAGAAAACATGCGGATGCAAACGTTAGTGACATAAATCTCCATGCAAATCCGCCAATTCGAACTCACTTCCCTTTCGTTTTCTAGTGATTTCCTTTTAGTTCCCTTTGGTTTCCTACTTCCTTTAATTCATTTTCGTTCCCTCTTATCTCCACTTGTTTTCCCGGTGTTTTCTTTTTGGCTTCCGCTTTGGGTTTTCTTTCACAGCCGAAACAAAGTCGCAGAAGCTCTTCCCAAGACCAGCTCGTGGCCGGCGACATCCAGCGAGGCCGTCCACCTCGCCGCTGTCGTCCTCGGAGCTGCGGCGGACCATGGACACCAACTTCTTCGGCGGTGCGGGTGTCGTTGGTTGCGTTGGAAGCCAATGAGATCGAGCCAAATGGGTCTGTCTTATGGGGGAACCCCACTTGGTTTTCTGCTTTGGTTTCCTTGCAAAACCAGCGAACAAAGTGGGACCCCCAAACAAGCAACACCTTAGCTGGGAGTTCCCCCAAATCGGACTCAGACCCCCTTTTGGTTGGCATTTAAAAGCGAAATCAAAAGGAAGTCCTTGCATTTTAGGGGACCTCTTTTGAAGAAACCAGCTTGATCTCAGGTATGTAGCCCTTTTGGCGGCTTGGATTGGCTAAGGATTTGAACCCTTTCTTGAGAGACATGGGAAACCACCCGGACACCAACTTCAAGCCACCCTGAGGGACGCTGACAGCTGGATCTTTGGTAGTTCTAGCCCCACGATTTTTTTGGGGATTCATGGCACCCGCATCCCCAAACAAGTTTCCAGTTCGGAGACTTCGGTGTTGGGTATGTTTTTGTTCGGAGTTGGTACCCATTCTTGGGCACAAAGGGCTCTCAAAGTAAGTTTGGGGGATCCCCTATTTGAAGTAGTGACAAACCCACAACCTTCTCTCAGTTGTTCAGTGAGACCCTCCAAGTCTCGTTCGTTGGGCTCCCCATGAAAACAATCAACCTCAAGCCGGCATTGTTCTTTTCTACCAGGTTCACTGGGCCACTTCTAGACAACTCCTGCGGGTTGGGAGTCGTTGGGTCCTTTTGACCATGTGACCATTATCCGGCCATACTGCAAACATGTTTCGACAGTCTCAAGCGCAAATTCGGGTTGCTCTGGGGTGTGCGCCTAATTTATCCCAAAAGAAATGCAAGCGTCGGGAAGGAGCCAAATCGATGGGAGATCTCGGGCGAGTATTTGGGGTAAGATCTCCAAGAGCCATTCTAAGGATCCGGATGAATTTTGGGCCGGGATCGGGCCATGACCATGACTGGCAGTGCGCCAGACCTTATGGGAAGTGTTTTTTGCTTTCGTGTTGACCGTAGGGATCTGGAAGGGAGGGAGCCATGGCCCACGATTTGGGAAGTTTGACCATGACGCACTGAAACCTGTACCATCAGTTTGGATCTACGCGCTGCTGCGTTGGATGCGGATGCCTTGTTCACGCCAGGCGCCTTGTTCGCCCAGCAGCTGCTGCCGCGGATGGAGCAGGACCGGAAGTCACAGAGACAGTGCATCAAAGGTGGTTTGGTCATGTTTGGTCCCGCGTGATCTGCCTGGGTGTCTTTTGGAGGGTGTTTAAAGGGGAGACCAACCTGGTCGGCTGTGCATTCAACTTGATGCGGGTCCATTTGTTTCTAGATTCTAGCAAGCCATCGAGTCACCTTTTGGCGCTACGGCTTGCTTTCAAGTCGAAGGCCTTTCAGGACGGACAACCCATTTTGATTCCCCGGCTGAAAGATTTGGGGTCTCTGCCCAAGTAAGCTCTGTGGTGGTTCAGAGCAGCTTTCAGGGAGGGTTCCGGAGGGTTGTGGAGGAGGTTCCGGGGCTGTTGGGCTGTTGAGAATGCAACCTGAGCTTGTTTTGGATGCTGGATCAAGCTGTGGGTCCAAGCTAGAAGACATTCAAAAGAGTGCTACAACAGTGAAACAAGTGCATCCATGACTTGGGCAAGCAAAGCGTTTCCTGGAAAACGGAGAAGTCTTTACACATCAGGGGCTGGTTGTAGCGACCTCGGGGTTGTTGAAGGTTCATTTGATAGGTCGCCCGTAGTTGGACGCGTGCATTTTTTTGCTCGTAGACTTTTGTGTTTAGAACAAACCACCCAGAGGCATGTCGTGAGGGCAGCGAACCCGCAAACCCCTCTCCGGGAGGAAGGTGGGCAGCTGATCTTCATTTCCTCTCTGATGGGCAGCTCGGCTTCGGGGACTGGGTCGAAAGCTCGTGCCATGGTCAAAAGAACTCATTTCAGGCTGCCACGAGCCACAGAAGGAGTCTTGAGGAAGATATGCTTGGGCGCCAAGTTGGCCATGTTCAAGCGCACCTTAAGTTCGCCTTGAGGGAACCAAAAGAGCATGTCCAGAAGACAGCCCTGCCTGCCAGGACGGGTCACATCCAACCAAGAAAACCCAGCTGCTCCAGGGCTGCCCTTCCTGCTCTACTTGCAAGATGTAGGGCATCCACAGTTGTCCCTGGAAAACTTACAGGAGGACCTAAGCCCACCCATCCAGTGGACGAATCTCCTTGAAGAAATAACCCTCCCTTTTTTTTGGAATCGGTTCCTTCTCGTGCAGCAAGGCGGCTGTGCCTGGCCGCTACATTGCAAGCTTTTTTCATGGGGGAGGCTGACAACATAGAAAAGCTTTTGGCTGACAGTTGGGCAGTGTTTACCAAATTGACAGGAGCAACCAAGCAGAAAACGATCCTGGGAGATTTCTCCACACAATTTGCAGTGAACTGTATGGGCACCAACAGGAGTTGGTTTCGAACACATGTTCAGACTCGGACCTGATTTGCGTGTGAGCCCACACTTCCTCTTGAAAGCAACTGGTCCTCCAAAGGCTCCCCCCATCAAAACCGTTAAGGCCTACTTGTTTCGCTGGGAAGCCAAAGCAAGTTTCGGGCCCAGTTTCGGGGCTCCCTCGTCCTTTTTTTTTCTTTGCGGGGGGGGGGACAGGGGTGGAGGTAGATTTCCAGGCCCCTTCTTTCAGGATGTGTTTCAGGTTAAGGCGCCCAAACCGAAGCCTTCGGGCCCAAAGAAACCTCAAGGCATGCTGGGCAGCGCGCGGTTGGCGGACTACTGCGCCTCCAAGTGGGCGCTCTTGGGCTTCGCGGAGCGGAGCGTGAGAGGGGTTTGGCGTTTCTTTCTGCGCATGGGCTTTGGGTGTCTGCCAAACAAAAGCCTTGCCGAGGCCTAAGACCTTGGAAAACCCAGAATCACAAATGCATTCCAAAAGCATTTGGAAATGCGTGGGACACCCGTGCATGACGTGACAGACCCACCAATTTGAGAAATTGCGAAAGGGTTTAAATCTAGGGGAAGGGGGTTAAGATTCTTTCCAGGTTTGTCAGTACGCCAGGACCAAAGTGGTTCCCTTTCGGCGATACATCGGGGGTATGCCTAGACCCGGAAACTTTAGGAAGAGCCGACCATTCCACTTTTGTTTTGCAGCTTTTCTTTCCCATCTAGTTGTAAGCAACCCCAAGGGAGCCTCAAAACGTCCTAGTAGGACCAAACGCTAGGAAGCCCGAAGGAAACCGGTCATTCTCATGCATCCCTAAGGACGTCAACATGGTGCTTTGCCATGGAAGGAGTTTGGGTCCAGTGACTTACGGGTTTTCCCTCGGCGCTTCTATGTCGGGCTGGAATCTCTCCAAAAGCCTTAAGACTAGAAGAGGGACCACCAGCATGATTTCGAGACTCCTGAATTCCTTAAACATTTCTTGTTTGGACACCATATCTACATCAAAGGGAGCAACAGATCAATTACCATCTATCAGTTGAGCTAAAACTCAGCGCCTTTTGCAAGCTCATCATAGGGAGGGTACCCACTTCATTGGCAATGCCTTGATTTCGACAAAACGTAGAGCTCGGCATGGGGGATGAAGAATGGAAGGCGTTGTCCGAAGCGCCCTTTGGGATGAGCTTACCGAACAAAGCGAGACGCTCCCGGAGCTTGTTGTTTTCCCCTTGTTTTCAAGGTGTTTTTTTAGCCGGACACTTTTGACCTCCGTTTCACCTTTTCGTTTGGGTGCCAAAAACAGGTTGGTTGGAAATGGGTATCGAAACAGCAAATGGAAGAAAAGGAGATACAGTGACTCTGGCAAACCCCTGAATACGCACAGGGCTTGCTCAATCTGCCTTACCAACATGTCATGTTATTTAAACCACCACCAATCATCAGAAAGGGGAAAACACAACTCGAAAAAGCCAGCCACTGGAATCCAACAAGACTTTTGGAGGCCAAAGTTTGGCCAACTTGCCCACTTGGCTGGTGATCTCACGGTTGGAGCCCGAGGGGTCCCTTCAAAGCAAAGTTGTCATCCAACTGTTCAGGTTCAATGTTTGTTTCTGGGAGGGCAAATAGGCTTCCTTCCCGCACGACCTCGAAACCTGGGTTGGAACATCCGAGCGGGACTCCCATCCAGGAGTCTCTGCGTTTGGAGCTGCGAGCGCGCGGCTCGAGCGGCTGGCAAGAAATTGGGCTGGGTGTGACCTCTGTGCATCCGACGCAAGTAGCATTGGTCGCTTTGGGTTTCGTTTCCATGTTAACCACCGTAACGATAAACTTGCTGTCGAACGGCCAAGAGAAATGTAAGCGGATTACTGTACATACTGGAATTGGGATGTACGTGTTTAAGACATCGGATGGGCTTCCCGTCTCCCTTGCATCCCTGCTATCTGGTTTCCCAAAAGGACCTGCTGACGTTTCGGAGAATGGCGGTTTTCAGCCACCAACCAAAAGAGAAGTTGTGAACTTTTTAGAGGGACCAGCCTAGTGAAGGGTGAATGGCCGAGCAGCTTTCACAGTTCGACGCTTTAACCTCACGATCCTGCAGTTGTTTCTCTTTGAAGTGCTTTGTTCCAACGGTCCAGCAGCCAGAAGAATCAACAAGGGATGTGGGAGGAGCGAGTCAGGATCTGTTTTTCTTTGTTCTTCTCGAATACCGTTTGCATGCCGCCCCGCTTTGTTGCCCCCCCCCCCCCCCCCCCGCGAGTCTTTGTCATGCAGTTCGTTGCCCCGTCACCTTGTTGCAGGGCACCGGGAGAGCCCCCCATCAACCAGAAGAAATTGGTTGCCTGGTACAGACGTTAGCAATTTCCACAGCCCTTGATTTCAAGTTCCAGTTCCTTGTAGAAACAGTCCGAGCTGCGAGCGCCCCCAAATTTGACGCTTTCATGTCCTTGGGACCACGTCAGCTTTTTGAGGCGAGGTGGGCGTGATGTCCGTGTGCCCCTACGTGATTGACACCGGGCCGCTTGGCTTCTCTCGCGCTCGCTTCCCCCGGGCGGAACTTGTGATGCTATGAATATCTGCCAAAAAATGCTTACTAGGCCTTAAGGCTGACTAGGGCAACAAAAAGGAATTTCTTATTTCCCTGCAAATCCCCGCCTGGAAGCTCCCACCTTTTGGATCTTTTGGCTCCAGTGTCGGTTTCGACTTTTCGTCGCCCGATCAATCCCTTTTGCCATGGGCTGAGAACTCTTCAGAACCTCGGGGGGTTTGCGAAGGGTCCATCAATTGCAGCGATCGCCTCCTGGTTCCTTGGCCTGGCAAGTCTTACATTTTTTTGGGCATAGCAACCCAACCGACCTGCATTTCTTGCGGCCGCCACCATCCCTCGCGCATTTTTTGTATCTTCCCTGGTAGAGCTTTGATTCGTTATCCTTAAAGTTAGCACTATCAAGTGACGACACTCCGCTTCCGGCACAAGCCGCTTGGTAAGCATCTTAAACCTTATAACCATGATCATAACTGGGGTACCTGGGGCCGCACCATGGTAGATCACGCACTCACATTGAACATCCAAGTCCGGGACCCTTTGGCGAATCCGAGAAAGTTGTTAAACCCACTTGGTAGGTCACTTGCCTGAAGCGAGCGAGTTGTAACCAGGGTTATGACCAGGGTAACTAGTGACTAGTGTTTCATTTGGGAGGGACATGGCGGAACGAGCTCTTAATTTTATCCACACAAGCAGGACACGCCCCTTTTGGGTGCCCGCAACCTGCTGTCATTTTTACCGCGCCTTCTTTTGTTGAAGATCTGTCAGGATGTTCCGGGGCGCCTTCTCGAGCGCGGACCGCGCCACGCTTCTGCGCCGTGTGGTGGCTGTGGTGAGGCGATCTTCGATCGGAGCGCGGGTAGCGATCCAGCTGGGATTGAGAGTCAGGGGTTTGCGGGTGATGTTTAAAGGGGAGGAGCTGAGAGATGATGTGTGGTTTCTCGGTCTGCCACTTCTTTAGCTTCTCCTTGTTTCTTTCCTGCGTTGGCGAAAACTAATTGGCAAGGGACTCCCATGGTTCCGCTTTGGATGGCCTTAGGCTCCCTGCGGAGATCCAGCTTTCAACTGTTGTGACGCACCTTTTTGCCGAGTTTCCCTAGCGCGGTGTTCCTGGTATTGCCGTACAAGCTCCCCCCCCCCTCGGTTGGGAAACATCAAAGGGCCGCCTTGTGAGTCTGTGAGGGCTGGCATCATGTGCACCGCCAAAAGAACCTCTTCAAGGCAACCATTGCCTCAAGTTGCGAGCAGATGTGAAAAGTAGGGGCAGCCCCTTAAACCTTCACCGTTTTGGGCCTGTTTGCTTTTTTTTTTTGAGGTTTCATTTCATTTTCATGGAGGCTGCCAACCCCAAGACCAGCTCCAAGACAGAGAATCCAGCCCGATGTCATATTCGCTGTAGCGCGTTGGGCTTTTAGCCCACGCAATACCTCAATGAACCTCCAAAGCTGGCAGGGTAACACTGCAAGCATTTGATCAACTTCTGCTCGCAACCTTGTCGGGGAATTAGATTGGACGAAGACTTTTCGGGTCATTCCGCACTGCGCGAGGTAGCATTTCGGTTCTCTGTACCATTTGAAGAAGAGAGCGGGACGCCCTGTGGGCCCTGGTTTTACAGTGGTTGTGCTGTTTTTCTGCTTTGTTTATATCTGAGCCCGCCGAAAAGAGTAATGTGAATCCATTCTGCTGCATCTGTACTTAGTTTGACCTGCGTAAGGTCTTCAGAAGTGTCAGATCTTGTCACCCCAAACAATTAAGAATCAGAGAGCCCACTTACTTGCCAACATTAAAAGCCATGTAGCGGTACTTCCACCAAAAGTGGCATTACCTGGAAATGCATTCATTACAACTACTTGTGGCATGGCTTCTCAATTGGATTGTGGGCTTGCCTTTTCAAGTTTCTGGGGTAAGAATACTTTTATCATCCCATTTCACAGACTAGCTGGATGAGTGGCTCCACCCCGGTTGACAGATCTTGATGCACCCCCCCATCATGTGGGAGTCAGGGGCCCGAAGTTCCTACCTGAATGACTAGCCAACCATAGGTCACTACCTTCAGTTGCCAGAAACCCCTTCCGGATCATCAGAAACATTTGCTGGAACGAGAATCTTGGATTTCCACCTTGCATGCCTATAGCTCACCAAGGGGTTCGTGGAATGAAGGCCTCTGCAAGTTGTGGTGAGGCACCTTCCCCCACTTTGTGAAAGAAATGCACTTACCATAGGCTACCAAGCTACCTGAGCTTGAGGATTGAACCTTTCCATTGGCCATGGATTGCTGGTAGCTCATATCGGGGCTGGAAATGAGGGTGTGCTCCCCCCTTGATATGCTGAATTACGTGCAGATCACTAGTCATATTGCCAGTAGATCATGAAATGTGAGTGGTGAGGCAGACCACCTGCAAGTGAGCAACATTAAATTCTACCTCACCAGGGATAGGTTGTCGAGCTCCTATGTTTACTGGGGGCATGCAACAGTTGGCATGAGAGGATGTAAGAGAATAACTTATTCTTTGCACCTCCCACAGGTCATCAACACAATTTCTGATAAGTAGATCTCATGGTCAAAAAAACCTTATGTTCATTAAAAAAAAAACAACAACAAGAAACCAGCTAAAGCCTCCAGGTTACCCATAGCAACCTAGCAGCATGATGACGCTGCTGCACATTGGCCTAATCCTTGACACACGAGGCTGTATGTCAAAGCCAGGTACACAGAAATATTCTATCCTGTCCTACCCAACTGAATTACCTTCGGGAGTGTGGTGCACAAGACAAGCCATGAGAATACTACACGCGACTGGGCCCACAAGCGAAATGCATAAACGGTGTTATTCTAAAACTAGAGCCTCAGTGCAACCAAGCCCTTTGTTGCTACAGGTGTTTGCTCACTAAAGGTGAAGGCGAAGCAGCAATCAATGTCGGTGCTAGTTACAGAGTTTTTTGTAGCTAACAGGGCTTCTAGCAACCACTTCTAATCCTGGGGACATGCGTCTTTGTCTGGGAAGGGTCCCGGCAAGGTAGGCAAAAAAATAAAACACGAAATTTTAGCTTCTTGTTTTGCCGACCCCTCCCCATCTCCAGAACCCGTCGAAACTGTGCCCATGTCAAACTCATGCCTTTGCGACCCCCCAAGATAAGCCCAGAATACACTTGCTCTTTTTATCTAATAAGGACAAACAAGAAAAATCGAGTTAATAAATGGCAAGTGGAGAACAAGCCTAAATTATGATATATTTGCGTCACATGTCTGAAATCACCGCGTTTTCAGAAACACTGTAAAATAGGGGCCCCTATAGCGTCCCTTTCGGTTGAAGAAAGGGCGCATCTCCAGTTGCCTACAAAGCGACTTGAAGCAGGGTGGAAGCAGCTGATTCATGATGGAAAGAAATTGGTCCAGGGGTGAGTTCCCTTGGACACTTTTTTGCTTACAAAAGCTTTCCCCAAAGATGAAGGTTTATTAAGATACACTCAAAAAGACTAGATCAACCAGGGCTTTTTCTGAGTCAATCAGAAGTTCCCTCCTTGTTTCGGTGCCGCGAGGCGCTGCGTCTTCCCCACGCTGCGGGCCGAGGAGGTGGCGGAGGCGCTGGCGAAGCGCCTGGACGAGGAGCAGCTCGTGCCCACGCGCCTCGGGGAGAAAATGTGGACTCGGTCAGCCCCCAAAATGCGGTTGTTTTTAGTTGAACAGCGCGCCGGGGGGGGGGGGGGGGGCTGGGACACAAAAAGTACGTGGTGAACGAAAAGGAAGTGAGCCAACATGGTGGCGGTGTCCCTTCGGTTTCCCTTTCACCAACCAAGTTTAAGAGACCTCGACTTATTGAGCCGGAATCAAGACCCAGGTATAAGGGTTAGCAAGAGACAGCAGCCAGAAACTCTTGATTGATCGAAATGTTCAACCCATGTCAGTAGGAAATCTCACCATTAGACTTGGCGGAACTGGGGTCAGGGTGCGTACAACCATTCTTCCTCGGCGGATTGAACATCCAGGTTGAAGCACATGGGCACTGCTCCTCGCAGCCCTTTGTTTCGGGTTCCTACTGAGGGAACAATGACCAAAGCCCAAGGGGCGATATTTACCGGCAGTTGCAGCAAAGATGGGGACGTGATGGCTGCGGCTCATGTCGATCACCTCTTTTTTGAACGGGTTCTTTTTCCAGGAACCAGTGCAAATCTGCAGAATCTGTAGGTTTGGGAACACGAATGTTTTTCCTTGAGTGCGTAGCAGAAGTCCCGTTTAGAGGTCGGGGGTCTGGGGGTTAGGATGTGACCAGAAGTCGTTGATTTTGCGTCCGCAAGCGTTCGCATGTGTTCGCGAGTGGATGACTTGACGAGTGTCATTTTTCGCGCTCCTGTGCGGGAATCGTGGCTCTTAGCATGTCAGACGTCGCTTTGCTGCGCAGGCGCAGTGTCTTGTCAAGGTTAACGTTTGCGTTGCAAATCCGTTGTGATTCGCGTTTTAGGGGTCGTCGTTTTGAGGTGCTTTGGTTGGAATGCGCGCGCAAGCGTTTCCTCGAGTGTCGTTTTCGTTGGCCCTGTCGTACAATCGGCCCGTTTTCACGAGTCGCTCTCGCTGTGGCGTGGTGCACATTTGGAGATCGCAAAGTGAACCCTCGGCGGACTTTGGGTGGGTTGAATCGCTCTCGCTGTGGCGCGGTGCGCATGCTGAAATCGCAAAGTGAACGCTCTGCGCACTTTGGGTGGGTCGAGTCGCTCTCGCTGTGGCGCGGCTCACATTTTGAGAGCGCAAAATGAACCTTCTGCACACCTTGGGTCGGTCGAGTCGCTCTCGCTGGTCGCAAAGTGAGCCCTCTGATGTGAAGATAAGGACGATCTCGATACCAATTTTGCTTTGCTTTTCACCCGCCAGGATCGACTGCGAACTGTTGCGCCAGGAACTGAGGCTGTGACTGACCACGCATGTCTCTCGCGCACTCTTTTGGAGGAACGCGCAGCCATCATCGAGCGAAGCTGCAGACGATATGCGCCCCGTCCGGTGGCAAATAAGTTTCGCAGCTGCCCGGCGCTCTTGAAAGCAAAAAGGCGCTTACGCGTCCGCATTCGGGTTCGTGGCTTCTATCAGGTTTCCTTTTTGAAGGGCGCCCGCAGCCTCACGGTAACTCGCGTCTGCTGGCTCTAAGGTCCCAAGGCGATTGGCCAAGAGACTAAACCTGATGGGAACGTGGCAAGAAAGCCGAAGCATCGCCAAGAAGTGGCCGGCGGAGTGCGTCATCTAGGATAGTTTTTTGGTCGCTTCTACAAATCGGGGACGCCCAGAAATTGGGCTGGTTCCCAGGCGATGCAGGCCCTGGTCGAAACAGTGATTTTCCACACAGGCCAACTGGTGGCCGATGTGAGTAGAGACTGTTGGTGCCGCGCGAGGCTAGAAGAACCAACAGAGTTTGCATACACATGTGCGTGTATATAGAAAATATATGTTCGTTTTATATTCGTACACACGCACACACACAAGCAGCTGTAAACCATTTGGGTGGTCTACCGTTGCTTTTGGGAGGATGGGGGACCAAACCAAAGTTGTAGCATGAACAGAAACAACTCAAATTGTTTCCCATGTGGGTTTTCTGCGGGGAAGAACGCATCCGTGAGTGGCACGTTCATAACCTTCTTCTTGGCGATGCGTCCCGCGAGGTTGGTGCTGCCCTGGCACGCAGGCTGGGTCTTCACCCTGCTGCGGCTGCTGCCCTTTAGTGCCTTCGGTTCAGCAAAGCCGGGTGCAACCTCCAACGCTTTGGTAGGAAACGGGTTCCCTGCAAACCGGGGCTACCAGTTGTCGCTTGGGACAACATTGGAAAGGGCAAGAGGGATTGGCCCTTGTAGGCCACACACGAAAGCTGTCAGTCGCCTCAAAATGCGGCGATGGATTCCACTACTGTTGACGGAAGAAATCCTGCACCATCTACATAAGACAATTCTCGTCGCACCTCGCGCTCCAAGTTTAACATTGTTTTTTCGAAAGGCACGCGCGCCGAACCATGCAACTAACGAAAATCCTGCACCACCCGTCTGAATTAGGGGCGAGGGGTTTGCGCCCTGAGACCTTTATGTGGTCCACACCCTGAAGAAGCGGTGCAGGATTTCTTCCGTCAACCATAGGTATGCCAGTCTTGTCTCAAAGCGGCCCGTTGGACCTTTGACTCTTTCAACTTGACCAACAAGCAGGGGACAACCCCTGGTGGCCGGCAGAGACCAGCCCGTGCGTTTGTGTGAACATCGAAAAACCCCAACACAGTTCCTTTGCCAACCCAAAAAGGGTACCTTCATTGGCGGGATGGTGGCGTGCCACCCCTTCTTCCTCATGTGCTGCCTGCCCTTTTGAACCGCACTTGTTGGACATAGGACGTCAAATACTCCGCTGTGAAATTGTGCGAATCGAGCTGTGCCTTCCAAGAAGGGCACAAAGGTAGACCTGATTCTGAATCTGCCGCTCTTATTAATCCGAGGTTGCCGTTTTAGTGGATAAATTCCTTGCTTCCAACCACCCCGAATTCTTTGGGACAAAAAGTAGACGTGATCCCTTGTGTCCAGTTTGGAATTAGTTTCCTGATTTGTCCTGACCTTCCAACATCTTGGAGTTGTTGACCAACCAGCGTTTTTTGACAATATGTGATTAGCCATGGTTAACTTCATCATCAGGGACGTCGCGGTAGTGACCGACCTGTGATGTTTGGCTCAAGTTTGCGGGTCCGTCGCGCCTCGGATGAGCGTCGCCGGGTCCCCGCGTCGATCACCTTCGTGTCGGTGGAGAAAGAGACATCGGCCCGGGGCAGATTGGTGGGGTCCGCCCGTGCGGTTCATCGTCGATCAAGGTTGCGGGTACTTGTTTACTTGTTTTGGTATTTCCCTTTTGGTTGTTGTTCTCTGGTGTGTGGGAAACCCTGATCTTTGGGACCGGGGATTGGTTTGCTTTTGGGGAACCTTTCTTTTGTGGCTTGTTTACCCCAACTTACCCATTGCCTGGGCACAGGCTCGTGCCCGAATCACAGGTTATCAGCCGTAGGACTTTCCTACGCGCTTGAGACCATCAACTACAAGCTCTATGTCGACCCCACGATCACACAGGAGTGTCGTGGATGAGGAGGCCATCCTAGGGGGCCTCCGCTCAGGTGAGGACCTACCGGACTTCGATTATGAGGATTTCGAAGCAGGTTCGGCAGGTCAGGACCGCAGGGGTGAAGATCCCGGTAGGGACACACCCAGGAGCCGTGGCAGGTACACCGACGATGGAGACGATCGCATTTTCCGTCAGGCCACTGATGATGAGCAGACACGAAGGGTTCGCTCCGATAGGAGCGGCTCTGAATCAGGTCACAGGCGCGGACAGTTCGACTTCATCAGCATGGCGATGAACATGGCCCGCCCTCATTCGGACGACCCGGAGGCCATGCCGACCCGACCCCCGAGACCTCTTGTTCCAGGTGAATCGCAGGTCTCGGATGAGTTTGAGGACAGGCCGCAAGGACCAGGGACTATGGTTTTGGCTCCGAGAGATATCTCGGGTCGATCCACTGGTTCTCAAAATCCAGGTCAGTTTGATGAGCACGAGGAGCGGAAATTCACAGGTTTCGGATACGATGATCTGTTGAAATCAACCGCAGGCTGGGGCAGTAGCTCAAAGCAGGGGTCTGATGCCGATAGGCCCAACCCTAATACTGCCAAGTCTGAATTTGATAATGGCGAAGGTTACAATTTTGCGGATGAGGAGGAGGACCAATCACGCCGAAATGCTAGGATCCGTGCTGCTGCGAGGCCCAGGAGTCTCTCTCGTGGAGCAACCAGGGACCTTCGTGTTGACAGGGACGCCCGGAGCGAGAGAGAGAGAGCCAGGGATAGCCGGGAAGTTCTTCGGGGATTGGAGGCCATCCATGACAGGGAGGGACCGATAGGTCCCCCAGTGATTGGTGATACCCGAAATGTTCCCCCCTTTCCCAACATTACATTTGGAGGTCCGTTGAATCAGAGAGACGAGAACTCGAACCGGGTTACTGGTTCGCCGAGGATCACTGAGCGGGCTGCCGATGTCGTTGGGACAGGTGCGAGAGATGGTCGGCTTGCCGATGCACTCGGAATCGAGGATCGTCCGTCGATCGCTAGCCCGTTAGGGCGAGATCCCAGTGACATCGAAACGCTAAGGTCCAGCAACGAGTTCACACCTCAATGGGGATCGACCGCCAGGGAGCGTAGTGCTTCTGCGAAGAGGCCGTCACCCCTGGCCATTGAGACCGATAGGTCGAAGGCGAGGAGGGCTAGCCCTTCACCGTTAGGTTCAACCCAACAGGATGAGGAGATGTTCGATCCTGCTGATGTTCATATCCACTCCACTCCCGAGTCTCGTGCATCTAATATTGATCCCCGAGCTGGCGATAGCCGGAGAAGGGGATCTACCCCGAGTAGGCCATCCAGGATTGGCGATAGTCCTGTAGGCGACCCCAGAAGACATGCTAAAGCTAGTGGGGCTCCTGAGAGGATCGAGATATCGACTCCTCCAGCACACAGGTCCCACTCTTCCGGTGAGTCAGGTGACGCCAGGGCAAAGGAGGTGTTTGATTTGCACATCCAGGAGATGCTCGAGAGGGGTGAGGTGTCTGGTTCAGTCGCGAAAGCGTTCCATATCTTTGCTGACCAAATCAGGTTACTGAACGGTCAGGTGGGTTCCATGCGAAAGGAGTGGAGCGACGAGAATCAGCAGACGAAGGACAGGGTAAATCGTTTGGCGACTGAGGTTGCGACTCAATCTGATGCCGGTAGGATGCGAATGATAGTTCAGCGGTTTGCCAGCGAGATTGTCCCTGACAGCAGGGCCATTGTGAGGCAAGCCATCGACGAACAGGCTGAGATCGTGGATCAGAGGATCAACGTCTTGTTCACTGAAGTTCACGAATCTGGGAGGGACTTTGAGATCGCTGCCAGTCAGCTTCGTCAGGTCATTCAGGAAAATCATCAGGCCATCCGCAGGAGCCATGCTGCTTCCGAGGATGAGATCCATAAGGACTTAGACAAGCTCGAGGGGCGGATGTTCTCGGTAGAGAAAACCGTTGGGATGCGGACGCCGGCAGGTGAATGGGATTTGAGCCCCGCTGCGCAAGTGCCCGATAGGGCTACCAGCAGTGGGGCGAACGCGAATTTCAGGGAACTAAACCTGAAGCTCGAGAAGATCCTTCTTGAACACGAGAAGTTTGCTAAGTGGGCCTCCGAATCTATTGGTGGTATCAATGAAGAACAGATCATTCTTGCTGATCGAATGTCGAGGCTGCAAAGTGGGAGGGGGTCCCAGGCGGTCGATAGACCATCAGGGCCTGATTCCCCGCAGGACTGGCATGAAGCAATTGACGAGGTCAATCGGAAGGTCCAGGATCTATCTCGCGGAGTTCAACGTCAACATCGGGATCATGACGATGTCATTGCGAGGTTTGAGACCGTGAAGTCCCACGTTGAGCAGTACGAAGCGAGATCGGGAATTCTGAACCGGGTCCTTGATGACATCAGAAGGCAGATCCGTAATCTCCCTGCGAATAGTGACCAAGCGCGGTCTGCCGTTAGGCGTGAACTCGATTCATTTCGGAACACGCTCGAAGGCGCAATGCGGAGAATTACCACAGTCGAGAGTAACATGCGTACTCTTAATGGGATGAACAACAGAATCATGGCTCAGCTTTCTGATATTGAGGGTCATGTTGATGAGGCCGCTGGCATCATTCAGGGTGTCCAGGAAAATCAGCAGAATCCTCAAGTACCCAGAGAAAGACGGAATGTTGGGTACAACGCTTTCGCTGGACAGGGTCATAGGATTAGGTCTCCGACGCCCACTCCTGGAGAAGGTAACGGTCGGGGTACTGGCCTTCCGGTAAGACCGGGCGGGGGTGTTGGTTTGACTGATCATGTTTTGCCGAATGTGCCCGATAGGGTCGATCCATCTCGCGCAGACAGGCATCCCATTCATCCCGATAGGGAAAGGGCTGACAGCAGAAGCAGAAGAGCTCGGGGACTGCCTGACAGATCACATTCCCCGCCAGGGCGTGCAAGGGATGGCCCCCGCGCGCGCGCAAGGGGGGACATTTCTGTTTCCCCCAACAGGGATGTGGGTAGAAATAGGAGCCCGAGGCCTGCTGCCGTCCCCGATAGGGGATCTGAGGTCCGGAGTCGGCAATCGAGGGGGGAAAGGCCAATCCGCGATAGCGGGAGCATTTCTCCGAACCTGGAAAGGCCGCTCCGCGATAGCGGGAGCGTCTCTCCGAACCCAGACCGTCATCCAGGAGGTGGTAGGGGTACTAGGGCCCATGCCGACATCCAGAGTCCCGGCGATAGCTGGAGGACTCCTGGGAGCAGAGCTCGTGCTGATATCCAGAGTCCCGGCGATAGCTGGAGGACCCCTGGAACTCCATCCGATCGTGGACGGGCCTCGGCACCGGCCGCAAGAGGTGCGCCCGGTACCGGTGGCCCAGGTGCGCCGAAGATCTGTGCTCTCGATGATCCGAATGACCGCAGGCACCCGGACGCTGAATTCTCGTGTGTTACGTGCAATCGTGAGTTTTGCAGGCTTTGCCGGGGCGACGATGGGGACTGTTGCAATTGTCGCTTCTTGAAGATGAAGTGTTGGGCATGTCGCAAAAATGCCCAGGAGGTCTCTATGTATTCCTGCACGGATTGTGGGAACCACGTCTGTGAGTCATTTTGGCAGTGACGGCCTCGA